CTATTAGATGCATATAATGCGTACCTCGTTCGATAGCGAGGGTGCTATTAAATAACCTTATAAATAGGGATAGTCAATCGTTTATAGATAAGCTATTGCGTGCTTAGTAGAGGGACGCCTTTGCTATCGAGCGCATTAATAAGCTTGTAAGTAGACGGGCGACTCGATCTAGTAAGAGTAACAACTAGTCGATCGACGACAAAGGTTACTTAAAGTTCAAGGGTAGATATTATATCCCCGCTAAACAATCGATTAGATAAGAGCTTTTAAAGAGGCACTATAATAGTAAACTCGCTAGTTACTATAGCACAGAGAGGTCGCACGAGTTACTATCGCGTACATACTACTAGCTAAATAGTAAGCGGCATATAAAGGAGTATGTACAGACCTATACAGTATACTAGCGAGTTAAAGCACCGAAACACTTACTATTCGGCGAGTTGTCTTCGCTCCCTATTCCAAAGAAGCCATTTGCTAAGCTAACAATAGACTTTATTATAGGCCTTCTACCTGCTAGGCGTAGGGGCAGTAAGGACGTATATAATACTATCCTTGTTGTAGTAGATCGATTTACTAAAGGCGCTCGATACATCCCGGCGCGGAAAGACTAGACTGCTATTAATATAGTAGAGGCGCTATAGAGTGACATCTTCTATACCTATTAGGGAACCCCTAAGGGGATAGTCTCCGATAGGGGCTCGATATTCACATCTCACTATTAGAGCGAGATTTGCTTGCAGCTAAGACTAAAGCATCGGCTATTAACAGCCTTCTATCTATAGACTAACGGTCAAACAGAGAGGTAGAATGCTACCCTATAGCAGTACCTGCGCAGTTACATTAACGAGAACCCTAACGACTAGGTCAACCTCCTATAACTAGCTAAATTCGTATATAATAATAGTGTCCACTCATCGACTAAGGTGTTACTATACATAGCTATAATAGGCTAGAACGCTACTATGCTACAAGACCTACTATCGCTCGAGGCCGAGCGCAAGGAAAGGGAAGCGCGTTAAGTACTAGAGACACTAGCGGCGATAGAACGTATCTAGAAGATGCGAGAAATCTACGCTAAGATAGCTAAGAAGCTAATAAAGGCTTAAGAGTATCAAAAGGCCTACTACGATAAGCGCTATACACCGATAACCTTTAAACAAGGCGACATAGTTATGCTTAGCACGAAGAACCTCCGCATTCGTAAGCACCTATTACCTAATAGTAAAACAAGGCCTAAGCTCGCACTAAGATACATTAGCCTATTTCGCATCCGAGAACCGAAGGGTAGTAGCTAGGCCTACTAGTTATAGCTTCTACCCTATTATACTATCTATAATACCTTCTATATATCCCTCCTTAAACTATACTACTAGCGCGAAGGCGATAAAGCGCCTGCTAAGTTAGAAGAAGTCTTAGCTAATAGTAAAGAACTGTGGTCTATAGAACGTATCCTACAGCATCGGACTAGGCAAAGCAAGAAGGAGTACCTATTAAGATAGTAAGGCTATTTACCCGAATAGGACTCGTAGGAAGCTAAAGGTTCCTTTAAGGATATAGCTAAGCTATTAGACGAGTATTAGACTAGCGTAAAGGATAAGAAGAAGGCTAAGAGGCTATAATGTTACTACTAGGGCCTAGGAACAATGCTACCCCCGGGGTGCTATTAGCTAACCAATTAGAGGCAAGCAATTGTTAGCAAAGGACAACAAGACTATACTACGATAACGGACGCGCAACGAGTACTAACGAGCGCACTATCACTGTCAACTAATTGCCTGCTCTTTTAAGGACTCTACCTCTTTACTAACGCGCCCTATAGGTCCCCCTCTTATTCCTTTATTCTATCGAGGCCTTAAAGCCTAGGCGATCTGCGAGGACGGCGTACGCATAAACAGCGATAGTAATAATAACGACGGCGCGGCCGGCGCGGCTATATTAGTAACAGTATTGCGGAGTGTGTTACTGTTTAAGAAAAGAAGGACACAGCTATATTAGTAACGGTATTACCGAGTTGTTGTTAGTTAAAGAAGGAAATCGAAAGCAAGGTAAAGTTGGCGCTAAGACGACTAGCGCCGCTATTATCGACATCACTTACTATTGTTACTACGCCTATAGACACAACCTTACCTGCACTACGAGCCTAAGGTACCTTAATCAAACTTTAATCAAAACTTTAAGGCCAAGTTAAAACTTTAAGCCGCCTAAAAGATTAAGCGACTAATAGACTAACTAAGGGCTAAAACTATAGAGCTAAGCTAGCCGGGGTCGATCTTGCGGACAATAGGTTACTCCTCGATCTTTCCGACCCTTTAAGCGAGGCGAACCTCTACTACTACACTTATAATAGCCTTTACCTATAGAAACTAGAAGAACTAAGTTTTTTAAAAAGATATAATTAGTTAATACTTAAAGGCTGCTAAACCTAACCAATTTGGGCTAGTAAAACTACGATAGTAAATAATAGCCCTTGTAATAATAAGAACAACCCTCGGAAGCGGACAAACCCTCGGAGCGGATATTGCTAGGTCTTTTAAGAGTAGACGCAAAGAACTCGATACGATATCACTTAGAACGGAGGTAGTGCTACAATACCTCGTACGTCTACCTATTGCAGTAGGGAAGACGCGCTCGTATTGTAATTAGTCGAAGGCCTCTAATTCTTGTAGATACATATCACTTTATAGTTTATTATATATAGAGATAGCGCAGTTAGGGTTACACATTGTGTTGTTTGGAGGTAAGGTTTGATATAGTTATATAATTAGGTAGTTGAGTGTTCAATTTAGCGCGGGCTAAGCAGCTTATTAGACTTGCTAAGTCAGCGGCAATAGAGGTCGTAGAACGTAGACAGGCTACGAGGGCGCGGCCTTTAGAAGGGAAGCGTATATTAGAGCCAAAGAGGCTACACGTAATTAGTATGTAATCAGGCCGAGTAAAGCTAGGGTCTTAGTGCCTTAGGCAGGGCTTAGCGCTTAGCGTTAGGCTAACTCTCCTGCCTTCCTCCCTCTCCTCCTAGATCCTTATCGAATACTATACTAATTCACTACTACCCTATCTACCTGCTAATATAACCCTTCTTACATAAAGGCAGTATACGCGGTAGTAAGTTAAGCTCTAAATTAATCGAATTCGATTGTATATTAACTAGGTATTTTAGCCGTTTCGCCCTCGCCGCGCCGCGCGCTCGTCTAGTAGAACAAGTACGACGTCCTCGTCTTAGTAGCGGCGATTCTATATAGTTAGACGCGAAATAGCGCTAGCATTCGGTATAGACTCGCACTCTAGACTCGAATTACGTAAGAAATGCTAATTCTCGCTTAGTCCGGCCCTACTACTCCCTACTATACCGCCGCCGCCGCCGCCGCCGACGATAACGATAAGGATAACAATAAGGATAACAATAACAATAACAATAAGAGATTAGGTAGTTAGGGTGTTAGTCTTAGTCGCTATTGTTTAGTTAGTCTTACGCTTGCTTAATAGTACGCAATTGCGCGTGTCTGCTAGCGCCGCTCTGCCCTTTTAAATATATTATTAATTAATATGCTACTGTTCGCTAGCCTCGCTTTAGTATAAGTATAATAACTTATCCTTTATATTTCTTCCTGTTTCTTCTCTTCTATAGTTATTGCAACATTGCTCGCGATACTATCTGCCCTAATATATATATAAGGTAAGGTATTTAACAATATAGATACATACTATTCTACGAACGATACGGAACAAACGACTCTTTAGATTAATAGGTAACGCGGATAAAGGCGTATAAGGCAGCGTTATATAATATAAGTATTGTCCGAATACTAGTATAAGCCTAAATATTGCTAAACTTGTGTTTAATCTTTTAATGTTTTAATATTTAAATAAGAACACTTAAAACGTTAACAATCTATATTAGTAGCTACAACTATCTGTTTGCGCCTATATTACGCTTAGAATTACCCTAATATCTAATAGAATCTAGATCTTTACCTATAGGGCGATCGACTATTGCCGACCTTACTATCGCTATAATAATAGACCGATCTAAACGGCTTAGTATAGCTTTCTGCCCCCTGCCGTCTAAATATTCTACTATATTGCTACTACTACTACCTTAGCATCTTCGCCGCTTGAAATAATTTATTTAAGAGCGACGACTAAGTACTCCTATCGATATTTGCTCGAGATAGTATATATAAAGGGCACTACTACAAGTTAAACAAACTAACTAATTCTTAGGATTCCCGAAATTCCTAAAATTAGCCTAAAGCCGACCTTCTTTAACTTCGGCGCACTAGGCTATATATTGCCTTCTTCCTTTTAGATAGAGACTCTCCCCGTAGCAATTATCGTCTAAATTAAATATCGAGTTACTGTTGAGCTGTAATTTGACAGATATTAGCAGAACTTGTTAGAGGAGCTGTCTCAAGGAGGTTGTGTATCCGAAATGCAATCGATCGGGTTTGGCCTTGGTTTTGATAGTCAAGCACCTCAACCTTGATTTGTATGGTTGTACGCTCAACCAGCTGACGTCTACTTAGGATGCTTACAGCAGAGCATGGAGAGTCTCAATCTGTCTCGCAGGCATAGACGAACGTGTCGGTCATAAAAACTTCCAGAGTGTTCTCCCTATCCGAACCTCCGAGATTAGTCTCTTTGTGTTCAATACAAGAAGGTATACACAGCCAGCACATCGCAAAGTCGAAATTGGTAGACTTCACAACTGGCAATGTGACCTACGCGTCACCAAGCGTGCGTTGATCGGCCGCACCTTCCTTGCCCTCGGTCGATGATAAGAACTGTCTGTCATGTGGACAATAGACTCTGCATTTCCATGTCGGCGCCTCTTTACTGCTCTGGCAATAACCACGCCTTGGGCATAGCAATATTGAGAGGTGGCTCAGGCTTGTGGTAAACTTATTGCCCATGGTAGATCGACAAGAGTGCGGCACCAGTACGACGCAAGCATCCTTGGAGAAGTTGTCATAGCGTGCTGCAAAAACTTGCATTCATGTTGCTCAGAAGATGCCGAACCACTTCTTCTGGACGGGCTGCGCCTTTCCATCGAAATCGACATAAGTCTCAGCAGCCATCTTGGGTTTGCTCGCGATACTTTCAATCGTTGCCTCTCCAGCATGTTGTGGTTCAGCCTGCGGGCTGCTACCAACCAATTCTGGGTCTTTAGATTGCTCATCCGACTTCGCCATCCAACCACCGAATATGCCTTCTTGTTGGTCCAGCCCATGCGCTTTTCTGTAGGCAGAACGCTTCTTAACATCATCGACCTTTTGTTTCCTCTTCTCTGCAGTTTGGGCACTGACATAGGCCACGTGAAGATCGTAGACTTCAATCCATCTCCCGATGAACGAGAAAGGGTGCGCAAAGAACATGCTGTTCGGAGGCAGCATATCTTTATAAGGAGTATCGTGTAGGAAATCGGTCAGCCATATTCCTACGACAAGCGACACCAGAATGGACTGGAGAATAACATTAGCACGTGCACGCATTGCACACGTTGGAATAAATGTCGCATCACCTACCAGCGATATCCACAAGTGGATGTTCCTGTTAGTGAGGAACCAGTGCATAAACGTGCCCTCAGGCGGCATCATGTGTGGGTATCGCTTGGTTTTTTGTGCCTGAGTGAGCTCTGGACCGTAGGTATATCTCGTCTTCTGGCGCAGTCTCGACGGATGCGATGGCGGCCGAAACCTGTCTGGCTTCTCCAGCACTCGTGGTTTGGGCGGCGCAGGTCGTTCGGTGGATGCATATCGAGATGGATGAGCCAGCAGAGGCCTTCTCCTCAGCAATTGCAGGTGACGCGCATGGTATTGAAGGCTGGCGCGAGGGAGCACCATTCCCATTCCCATTCCCAGTCTCATTGCCGACCCCGATCCCGGCCTGAGCGATGCCATCTCGATGTGTCCGGCCACAAGACACGCTCCTTCCTAGATCTTTCACTTGCACGGTGCGTCGGCGCCGTCGGGAAAGACCCTGCTGCGCGAGTGCCTCAGGCTTTGCTGGGTTTAAAGTTCGCGCCCCACACTGTAAACAAATGGGCCCGGCGTGGACTTTCCTCGCACTCCTTGACCAGCTCCCAAGGCACCCAACACTGCACCAGCAACAGGCAGACGCATACACACCGCATCAACGACCTCGAGTCAACTCCCAGCGTGCACACCTATACCCTCACCAAACCAACACCCCCGCAATACCGCCAAAATTCCCGGAATGCGCGAGATCGTAAGTCTCCAAGCCCACACCGCCCCTGATCCCATCACCAGGCGCGGCACGCGTCGACGGCGGCGACAGAGAGGCGACAACGAGCTGACTGCAGTGTGATACAGGTTCATCTCCAAACCGGCCAGTGTGTATGTATCGGCCGCGTCTCCTGCTGCCTGCAGACCGGGCATTGACCGCGCGAACAGGGCAACCAAATAGGTGCTGCATTCTGGCAGACCATCTCCGGCGAACATGGCCTCGACGGCGCTGGCGTGTACGTCGACACAGCAAGAGCAGCTTCTGAGCACGACTGACCACAACGCAGGTACAATGGCACGTCTGATCTCCAGCTCGAGCGCATGAACGTCTACTTCAACGAGGTATGCTCCCAAGTCCCTTGAAGTGCCAAGGCTTTCGAACTAACGCGACGGTGTAGGCCTCTGGCAACAAGTATGTCCCACGTGCCGTCCTCGTCGATCTCGAGCCAGGTACCATGGATGCCGTCCGTGCTGGTCCATTCGGTCAGCTCTTCCGCCCAGACAACTTCGTCTTTGGCCAGTCCGGTGCTGGTAACAACTGGGCAAAGGGTCACTACACTGAGGGTGCCGAGCTCGTTGACCAGGTTCTCGATGTCGTCCGCCGCGAGGCTGAGGGCTGCGACTGCCTTCAAGGTTTCCAGATCACCCACTCCCTCGGGGGTGGTACCGGTGCTGGTATGGGTACGCTTTTGATCTCCAAGATCCGCGAGGAGTTCCCAGACAGAATGATGGCCACCTTCTCCGTCATGCCATCGCCAAAGGTCTCCGACACCGTTGTCGAGCCATACAACGCCACCCTCTCCGTCCACCAGCTGGTTGAGAACTCTGACGAGACCTTCTGTATCGACAACGAGGCTCTCTACGACATCTGCATGCGCACCCTCAAGCTCAACAACCCAAGCTACGGTGACCTCAACCACCTCGTCTCCGCTGTCATGTCTGGCGTGACCACTTGCCTGCGTTTCCCAGGTCAGCTCAACAGCGATCTCCGCAAGCTTGCCGTCAACATGGTGCCATTCCCACGTCTCCACTTCTTCATGGTCGGTTTCGCACCACTTACCAGCCGCGGCGCCTACTCCTTCCGCGCCGTCACCGTGCCGGAGCTCACTCAGCAGATCTTCGACCCAAAGAACATGATGGCTGCTAGCGACTTCCGCAACGGACGCTACCTCACTTGTTCGGCTATCTACCGTGGCAAGGTCTCGATGAAGGAGGTCGAGGATCAGATCAGGAACGTGCAGAACAAGAACACTGCCTACTTCGTTGAGTGGATTCCGAACAACGTCCAGACCGCTCTCTGCTCTATCCCACCACGCGGTCTCAAGATGTCCTCCACCTTCGTCGGCAACAGCACCTCCATCCAGGAGCTGTTCAAGCGTGTCGGTGACCAGTTCACTGCCATGTTCCGTCGCAAGGCTTTCTTGCACTGGTACACCGGCGAGGGTATGGACGAGATGGAGTTCACTGAGGCAGAGTCGAACATGAACGACCTTGTCTCTGAGTACCAGCAATACCAGGAAGCTTCAGTCTCTGAGGGCGAGGAGGAGTACGACGAAGAGGCGCCGCTGGAAGCCGATGAGTAGAAGTCTCGAAAGCCAGCGAGCAATGGGCAGAAGGGTTCCCCATCTACTCCCCAGACCATGGACACAGCCCCTGATACTCTACCTCCCAGCTATGAAGACGTGACGTCTGACCCGGCAGCTCCACACCGCTCCCAGAACCAGGAGAGCGCCTATCGCAGAGAGACGAGAAACAGCAGTGGTCAGCGGTCTCTTTTTCCTGTCAACGAGTAGATTGTGGTCCCCTAGCTCGGTTTTTGGCAGCTATGGTGGCCGAGTATGATCAAGGATATTGAGCGTTCCTAATTGTTTCTGCTTTTTTGCACGACAACCCCACACGAATAGCTTTAGCAGAGATGTCTGTAGCGACATCTGCAAGGCACAGTTATGAATACGTCCTGCCCGTGCACAATGTCTTCACTTCCATGCGTTGCCAGCGACCTCGGACAGATCAAGATCGGAATCCATCGATCGCCATTCTCACTACACTCCTTCGATCACCTAGCTACACTTCTTTTCTATAAATTGCGCTCATGATACGCGCCCGAAAAAAAGCTCTTCTTGTAGTTCTCAGATTTAACGGAAGCCACTTTGAACAGCATGAGCAAGCCAAAATGAAGCCCTTAGGCCAGAAAGCTTTGTAAAGGTACCTTAGCGGGGTCCGGGCTCTCCTCTAACCGCAGTTTAATCGTAAAAGCGCGGTTGCTCAGTCTAAATAGTACAATAGCAACGACCGCAGAAATGCAGTTGTCTTGAGTGAATTATTAGATCTTATAGACTATAGATATCTAGCTATAGATGTAAAATCTGAACAGTTAAAGCACGTAAACGGTTAAGATAAAGCGAACCGTTAGGACCAATTAGCGGCTGCTAAGAGTCAGCTGTTTATTAGCAGTTAGCGGTATATAGGTGTTAGCGGTATGTAGGTGATAGCGGTTTAATTATCTATATAGGTATACTATTCTATACTGTCTATTGCGCTGCCGCTGTCTACCGCTCTGCCGCTGTCTACCGCTCTACCGCTGTCTACCGCTCTGCCGCTATCTACCGCTCTGCCGCTATCTACCGCTCTGCCGCTATCTACCGCTCTGCCGCTGTCTACCGCTCTGCTGCTATCTACCGCTCAAAGAAACTAAACATCCTAATCTATATAAAGCACCCTATTACTAGTCCTTATATCCTAAGCCTTGCCTATCGTTATAAGTAGTAGCTGCGTCGCATTAGTTACGACTAGCACTATCTAGATCTTATTGCTACTAATACTGTTTACTCTAACCGTAATCTCCTTATTGCTAAGCTTATAGACTAGTAGCTTAAGGAGTGGATCATCTCGGAGTATTTCCTTCGTAGTTATTGTAAGGCGTACGAATAGCGAGAGGCTACGGATAGTACGGTGCGTAAAGATTTAATTAATCCGGCCGATATTAGTTGTACTACGATATTAGACGAAGTCGCTACGGCGGAAGACTATACGGCGCTAGGTTAGCTTATCGTCGAATGCGAAGCGCTTGTACTAGTAGATCGTATCCTACGGAGTAGTTAGTATATAAATATTGAAGCTAGGATAATACTAACCTTGTTTATCGGAGTGTAGTTCTCGCGGTTGTAGTCGTATCGGTATGCGTTAATTAGAGGCTCTCGATAGCCGCTAAGTGCATTATTCTTAACTAGTAGAAGCAGGAATTCCTTACAGTAGTATTCGAGAAGGCGCTCGCTAGTTATAATACCGAGGTAATCGTTGTCGCTAAGGATTGTCTCGGTACTATTAAGCATAGTCTAGTTATCTATATCGCTATTAAATCGACGCTGCTCGGACCTAGGTAACACACTCTTAAAGAGTTGTAGGTTCTAATCGTATAGGTCTTTTAGCTGCTTTATTAGTATAGGATGATCGGATACGTAAGCACCCTATAGTAGCAAACGTACCGTTATATTCAAGCCCTACCGCTAAAGGAGGTTACGCTTAGGGTTAATATAGTTAGTTATATAGATTTGCTGCTTTATCTCCTTATACTTGGCTTCGCTAGCAAGGACATTGCAATTCGCGGCTAAGGCGTATTTAGCGATAGTAACGTTGTAGTGCTAGCCAATATAGACATTTAGCCGCTTTGCTATACTACGATATTTAGCGGCACCCTTCGTATCCTTCGCCTGCTAATTATTAGCAACTTAGCTTACTACACTTATACTGCGGCGATCGCGGGTCCGTAGATTCTTAGTATTAGCGATAGCGCTACATTCTATCAGTTCCTAGAAAACCTACCGTATAGCAATTATCTTAGCTATATAGTTCTTCCGTTGTTCAGTCGTCGTCTTTTAGGACATAAGGTTTACATTTAAACGTACTAATGCCGAGAAGCTACGGACGAGTACGGCAGAGACTAGGATTTCATCGAATTCTAATAAGACTAGTAGCTGCCGGGCTTAGTACTATCGCTAGATGTAACTAAAGAGGTTGCTAATCGCAGTGCCGCCCTTACGTACCATTTTATATATAGCTTTAGCAAATTATAGCTCGATAAGCTCGTCCTATAGCTAAGTACGTAGCAATACTAGTATAAGGACTAACTAGCAAGCGTGCTCGGATAGGCTGTATTTAAGCAGATAATATAGCGGTAACTGAAGCCGATTCTATCTAGGTAGCATAGGAAAAGTACGTAGCTCCTTACTATATACTAGTTAAGCTGTATTTGTTAAGATCTTACTAAGTAGGAGAGTGTGTATTATGTAGCTTATACCCTTGAATTCCGAGTGCGCTAGATCAGATAGACGTAAAAGGATAATATCTATCGCTAGCGATATCTTTTGCAGTGCTATAGAGTCTAGCAGCATGCCGTACTGCTTACTAAACTAGGTACGGGCTAATTGCCCGGCGATGCTGTCTATATATTAGCGAATGCGCTCGTTTTCATAATAATACCGTAGATCGGAGACCGAGACCGTTAAGTTGCCTCTATCCTTAGCAGTCGTATAGCAGTACCGATAGGAAATAGTAGATATAGGTCCGAGCATGCCGGAATTCTCTTACTATTAAGGCATATCGCTAATGTATGCTATAACAAAAGCTGAGATTGTAGCCTCTATGCTATCTAGTAGGCTAAGCTGTACACTACGATCTAGTGCTTGCAATACTAGTGCGAAGGCATCGACTATATCGTCTATATTGCTACCGTAAGGTCCAAGAGTGAAAGGAATAATATTAGAGGTACGGTTACGCTCCTATATCGACAGTCTAGCTATAATAATATAGAAACCTATTAGCGATCGATGCATATTCCAATAGAGGCCGAATCTATTAATAAACATGAGATATAGTAAGGAGATAACCTTACTTAGCTTAATATAGGTATCGATAAGGTGCTAGCGGCTATAAGTTATAATCTCTAACTCGCTACGAATAGGGTGTGTTTAGTGAATTGGAAGTATTCGACTATCCTTAAGAATAACGCGTCTAACAATATATACGTACGTACCCTAAGGTAGCAAGTCCTCGGCATTGACCTTGCTTTAGTATAGGTAGTGCACTGCGACAGTGCTATTGCTAGGCCGCACCTAGGATTCTAAGACGTAGTAACTAAAGACCTCGGTGTCGATTAGAAACAGCTCGTTCTGCTCCGGGTCTTGAATCTTAAGCTTCGTAGCCGCAGGCAGCTATTGGAATTTGTAGAGGCGCTATACCTATACAACAGTCGACCCCTTCGCACTAGTATAATTACGCTCGGTTCGGTTATCGAGCCAAATAGCTAAGACGCGGCCGATATGACTCTAATTAGTAGTATTAGCGGTATAGCAATTAGTATCGTTATAACGGAACTAAACGAAATCTAATAGAAAGATTAGTCCGCCTAGCTTGCCGATAAACTGCTTCTAATTAACCGAAGGTACTAGCATTAGGGCATTAGTCTTTACTGTCTTAGCACTACGCTTCCTAGTCGGTAGTATATAGTTTAGCGCTTTGCTACGAGCTAGACTAGGTATATAGGACGTAGAAGCTATAGGTATACTCGGATTAGCTAGATACGTAGCGAAGGCACTAGAAGTTGTTCGAATCGAGCTCGCCTATGCCCGAGACTAGCTAAGTTCGTTTAGTAAGTCTACGAGGAGGGCGAGACTACTATATATTTAAATGTCGGAGGCTAAGATCCGCGTAAACAGCTATTGTAGATTAAAGAAGTAGAGCGGCTCGGAGACCTTCGCTTCTTTTCCTAGTGCAGATAGTAGCTTCTTCTACTCGAGGGCGACCTCTTAAAAGCGCAATTCGAGGAGAGGAAGGACTAACTTAAGATACAACTTAATAGTGTCGACTAAGCGCGGAAGATCTGCTATCTAAATACTATCCGTAATCAGTGTAGCAAAGATCTAGAACAGCGACTAATAGTCGGCCTTTAAAATACCTATATCTTAGAGCTAAAGACTAAAGGCGAGTTCGAGGGACTTGATTACTACAACCTTGTAGCCCTTTTTCTAGTCTAGGACTCGAGACTAGTCGTAGAACTAAGCTGGCTCTAGCGGCGGCAACATAAAGCTAGCCGGTTGTTAAGTCTGAGTAGGTGCTTAGGCTTTATCTTCCTCGATATACTCCTAACTAGGTATAGCAGTCGCTTGCTACACTTCGAGGGGCTCGTCTTCTTCTTCGCCCTTAATCTAGTAGTTAGCTGTTTCGATAACCTCCTTAGCAGTTAGCATATTATAGCTACTAGTGTCTTTAGTCTATATAGTCGCTAGGTCGAGACTTAGTAGTTCAAATATTATACGACGCATAGGCTTAGCTTTATTAAACTGTACACCGAGGCCGTCGTTAGGCTGCTCGATGCTCTAAGTAACATCCTCTATATTAGGAAGGTCTACGGCTTTAGCTTCCTTATTATCCTTATCTTCCTCGTTACGCGAGCGCTTCGTACCGGATACTAGAGTAGGTGCTAATGCCGAAGGAACAGCCGTGTCGCCTTAAGTAGCTGTGTCGGCTTAAGCACTCGTATCGCCTTAGTTGTTTAGCGCAGCTAGTCGGTTAGTACTGCGACGTAGAGCGCCTAGTAGTATAAATAAGTATCGGTGCATCTTAGGTATATGTCGAATATCGTATAGGGTGTGTATATATATGTGTATATCGAATAGTATAGAGGTAGAGGTGGAGGTAGAGGTATCTAGTTGAATTTGTTTGCTACGGAAGGCAGTCGCGTATAAAGGAAGTCGCTAACGCGTTACGTATATGCAAGTCTAGTATATAAATGTAGACGCGTTTAACGCGTATGTACGGCTTCACTAGTACTACTCGATCTTTCGCGTACTATAGGGTTGTTAGTAGATATTAATATTATCAATTTATTATAGTTTTATATATAAAAAAATGCTAAAAAAATTAAGCGCATACAGCGCATATAGCAATAGCAACAGCAACAGTAGATAGCGGACAGCAGACAGCAAACGGCGCCCTAGCGCTACGTAGACAGTATTATAAAAAATAAAAATAAAAAAGCATTAAGCAGCGCGGCGCTACTTGCGCGGCGGCAGCGCAAAGTCGAGCTTATTCGCCTCTGCTAAGGCGGTAGAGAAATCTCGCTTCTATATACCTTATAGTTAGCATATCTATTATACAGCTGCTAGTATACTGAACTATACCTTGCGGCCCTTGTCGCTAGAGCTAGGCTTTGCTAGCATTAGCTCCTTTAAGTCGGAGCGCTCTAGATTATCGAACTTTTCGTCGATTCTATATATATAGTTAGTTGCTAATTATTCCGCAAGGCTCGGTAGGTGCTTAATAGATATAGATGCTCGATCTATAGAAGGTTAACTTACGGGTAGCTATTATAACCAAGCATAAGCTTGGTGTTAGCGTTAGCGCATCGTTTATCGCCTATAAGTATTTATTAGTATCTATATCTAGTATAATAAGTATAACTTACTAGGAAGATCGGCATCCGCCCGAAGGCAGATCGCTACCTTCGAGCACAAAGATCGAAATAGCCCTAGTACAGATTATTAGTATACATATACAAACATCTTACGGAGCTCTCGGAGGTATCGATTTAATAGATAGATAGATAGATAGACGCAGACGTAGATACTCAAGCCGAAGCTTATGTTAAAGAAGCTTAGCTATATTATACTAAATAATACGAGCAGTATACTTATATTGAATAAACATACACCTATAGAATACTTTGCCCTACTAGCTAGAGGCATCGACGTCTAGATAGCCTTTTATATAATAGAAGCTGTATTATTATTAGCATTACCGAGCATTACTAATCTACCAACGCATAGCAAACCTATATACTACAAAAAAATCATCCTTATTGAAGAGGGACTCGAAGAAAGAAAGAGTGCCCTTATTATTAAGGGACTTTAAATAAGCATTTTGCTCAAATTGAGCGGTAACGAATTTCTAAAATACCAATCAGTATATAGCCACTACACTAGCAGCAGCAGAACACGAGTAGCAGTAGTAGCGGCAGCAGCAAAAGCTGAGCAGCGGCAGTAGCAAAAGCTAAGCAGCGGCAGCAGCAAAAGCTGAGCAGCGGCAGCAGCAAAAGCTGAGCAGCGGCAGTAGCAAAAGCTGAGCAGCGGCAGCAGCAAAAGCTAAGCAGCGGCAGCAGCAAAAGCTAAGTAGCGGTAGTAGCAAAAGCTGAGTAGCGGCAGCAGCAAAAGCTGAGCAGCGGCAGCAGCAAAAGCTAAGCAGCGGCAGCAGCAAAAGCTGAGCAGCGGCAGCAGCAAAAGCTAAGCAGCGGCAGCAGCAAAAGCTGAACAGTAGACAGCGGTAGAGCGCTAAAAAAGGTGAACAGGCAGTGCAGTCTGAATTCTGAAAGGTAGAAGGACTTATACGAGCTCGAGAGATAGTATCATTCTTGAAGGTTCTCGATCCTAGGCATTTACCGCGGGCCTAGCTATATAGGAGGGGCTAGGAGGTCTGAATGTCGTTGCTATAGATCGATTTAATGAGTTCATCTTTCTGTTTATAACTAGTAGTCTCGAAGTGCATTATCCGAATGCTATAGTCGAGCTTATTACGATTCGAAAGGTCTTTCTTAAATTCATTTGCTTATAGAGTAGTCGGTTTAGGAAATTTGCCGGGAGAAATGCGAGCTTCTAGGTACTTTGCTAAATATCTAAGGAGTTCACGGTGCTAAATGCCTAAGTCAGCGCGCTGTGCCACTAAACCATACTGCCTATTTACATAAAAGTGCATAGGAATATCAAATAGATAAATAGTGTATAGGTACAGATATTGGACATAGCCGTAGTAAGCCTAAAGGCTAAGATTCATAAAGGCTTAAAGGCTAATTCTGATCCTAATTCTGATTCTAAACTTAAAGGCTAATCCTGATTCTGATTCTAAACTTGAAGGCTAAGGGCTGAACTTAAAGGCTAAAGGCTAAAGGCTAAAGAACAATGTAGAATAGATTGATATTACCGGAGCGTCTAGTCCTAGCCTCGTAGGCCGGGTCTCCTAAGCAGGAGTAGGAGCAGGAGCGGCTTCACTAGTAGAAGACATTACGCGCGCGAGAAGTATTAAATCAAATATAAAATTGGCGGAGCGGAAAGGGCGGCGGCGGTGCGAGAACCTTAGTAGTATATATAGATAGAAGAACGATAGTATATATATAAAGTCTAATCGTACCCCCGCGGAGTAACCGCTCGGCGCCTATTCCTATTAGACCTGACCGTTCGCAGGTATACTAACCGTTCGTACACTAGCAACCGTTCTAAAGATTAATAGTTTAATAGTATAAACCGTAATATTACAGTTAGTAAAGATATTAATGGTTAGTGAAGATGTAACAGTCATATACACGGTTAGAATTTGGTATAACTATTGAAAATCACATGACTGTAATCTTACAGCTAGGCCGGACTATATACGCACGCTAAGGTATCGTCGACATGCCTTTCTTGGTCTTCATAGCGCTTATCTTAAGTCATACATACATGGGAAATCAGCAGCCAGCGTACTGTGTCCCGCAGCTCGCATGATGGTCTCAAAACAAACGCCAGCGATGTGTGAATGTGCTCATCTATAGCAACAATGTGGTTGCGATCGATGTTTCCTCCGTCATCTTAGGCAGCCATCTCCACCATCCTGGAAATGGCCTCCTCGACATCAATGCCCATACCAAACTGCTCAATCGCATCTTGTGCTCGCGGGACTCCGACCAAGGTGACGTTTCGGGGCACAATAATGTCCATCACATCGAAGCAACCAAAGGCATCAAGCTTCTTCAGTTTAGGACAACTCTTGAAGATGCCCGCGATGACGCTGTTGTCGACCTTGTTGCAAAAGCTGATGTTGATTTCCTCGAGGTCAGGATAGCTCTTGCCACCGTTGAAGACATCCATGAATGCTGGAAGCTGGATATGTCGGCATGAGGAGATATCGAGATGCTTGATCTTGTCACCTGAATGGGCCATCAAGGCTTTGAAGCCTTCGGAGGCAAGGCCGATGGCTTCCTCTGGACCGTCGGGATTTTCATTGTCCACATCTCGGTTTGAGTGAAGATCGACGAATGTGAGTGGTGAGTTCTGCCAGTTTGTGAAGAGCGCGACGAAGCCTGCGTCGGTAGCTGTATCATTTTCTGTGAATCTGAATTTTGAAAGATGAATGCAATGGCTGTGTAAGGCCTGAAGGACAGAGTCATCGGCATCGAAGAACTTTTCGAGAGACAAGGTACGAAGCGTCGAGCCGCGCTTCTGGACGAGATCGACCAAGACTTCGACAGGTACTTCTCGGCTCTGCTTGAGAGAGAGGTGCTCAAGGCGCTGGAGTCCTGAAATCGCTTGAATGCTTTCAGGACCAACACGTCGACAATCTTTGAACTTGATGCGTTCAAGGTTTGGGGAGTACGAAACCATGTCTCGCACAGCCAAGTCGTCGAAGGCAGAGTCCAGTGATGTCAGCTTGACAGCCTCGAGATTGCGGCCAGCTTCGCGAAAGAGTCGGAGCCACATGCTATCTGACACCAGATTCGCGGCATAAAGCTGAAGGTACTTGATGTTTGGGCATTTTTCGAGCATGTAATCGATAGCTTTATCCTTCAATTGGCATGCATTGCCCAGAACGAGCTTCTCGATCTTCGGAGACATTGCGAACACGTGGTGATAGTCGTTTTCCTCCAGGTATGCCGCGTCGTGGAGGATGACTGCATCGTGCTCGGGATTTAGAAACAACGGAAGTGTCTTCGACTTCAGGACTCGCTTCTTGGAGAAGACCATGCTGAGCCGCTCAAGCAAGAATTGAGGCATGCCGCAGAGTGACTCGATGTCATCGTGATGTTGAGCAATTGTGGCCAGGCAGAGCTGCTGCAATGACTTCGCACCGCCTACAGCACGCCCGTCAAGCCGATCGCTCTCAATCTTGCGGCGCTTCCGTCCTGCTGGCTTGGGCTGCGATGCCTTCTCCTCTCTCTTCAGATCATTGGCCATCTGCTTGCCGCATGGCGTACACAAGAGGCCACCATTCGGTCCTTCCTTGGTGTATGGAGTGACGGTAAATCGCTTGTCGCATATATCGCAGTGCTCGAATTGTCCTGGTGCCGGGCGCGTCTTCTTGTACTGATCACGCAAGAAGTCGCCATCAAAATCATCATCATCATCGTCGTCGTCGATGTCGTCGTCGTCGTAGTCGCGCTTCTTCTTCTTGCCGGCTTTCTTGGACGAAGAAGCCTTTGCCTTCTTGGCCTTCTCCTTTGCTTCTTCTGCAACTCTCTTTCGCTTCTTGCTTTTTTCGACCTTCTCAGCCTCCTCTGCAATGTCCGCTGCGATGGCTGCCTCGACCTCTTCGTCTGCTTCGTCTGCTCCAGCAGTACTTTGTGTGCGAGATGCATCTGCACTCGACTCTGCCTGGGCTTGCTCCCGACGTCGTCTCTCGTAATCATCGCGGATCTGGGCGGCCGAGATGTTATTTGCCTGAGAGTTCGGTCAGCATTACTGAACTATAGATAACTACATCTTGCTATGTGACATACTGCCAGGAAGTCTGTCAGTGCAGACTGTGGACCGCGAATGCGATTGCCTGCTCTCCGTCCGCTCATGTTGTCTGTGGCGATCGCGCGTGTATGATCGAGACAATAGAAGAACGAATTGCAGAGTGGTCTGTTGCTGTTCGTGGCAAGAGAACGAAGACAGCCCCAGGCCTCAAGACGCTTGAACAGGGATGAAGCAAATAAGGTTCGACGCGCTTCGCGCTTTCTTCACGAGATCACACGCGTAAAGTGGTTTGTCACAAGCTCGAATGTTCACTTGCACGACTTCCGCGTCACGTACTCAGTCAATACCATTATGGTCATGTGAGAATAATTGCAGACATACACACGAGCCCTTTCGAGTCGTCTCATAGATTTTGCTCTTGCTCGTTGATCTTCGACGCAGCTCGATCGCACTCGTTCAATGGAATTCCGCCTGCACAGCTCCATACTTAACGCCATCGACCCGTAATTCAAACACCAGACTTGCACTTTCAATCTTCATGTGAAGCTCAAAATCCAGATTGTCAAACTCTATACCTTTGGTCGTGGTTAACCGCGTAAAGAGGCCTTTGGGCACTGCATTCAGATCCGTGATCAAAGTGCAAACGTTGACAAGAGACTGTATGCCGCCACAAGCATCCGGCGCTTCGTCATCCTCGCAAGCAATGAGGTCGTCCTCAACGATTAATGACTGACCTGGTCGGAAGTTTCGCGTGTAGTGAAAGGAGATGGGCTGGTCGGCGGATATTGGGGTGCCCTGGTGAAAGTCGTCAGTTTGAAACATACAATACGCGGTCGACGCTCGCCACCCTCACCTTTGCTATGTGCCATTGCATGCGATCTGACACCATCCATCGTTCCCAGAGAGGACTCCAATATCGATCTGAGAGCGGATGTTTGGTCTCATCGAAGACGGTCGCGTAGCTCGTGCCATAGTGCCACCGGCTCCGTCTCTTCTCCACCAGGCTTCCTTCCAGTCCTCGCACACAGGCTCCTCTCACTACCGCTGTCCAGGCGTGCAAGGGCTGCAGTACTTCTACTGCTTGCTGAGGCGCTTGTGCTGCCGCGTGCGTTGGGCGCTCGGTATAGATCGGCGGCGGAGGCGCATTGAAGTGTTGTTTTAAGCGTGTATAGAGATAGTTCGATTGTCCAAAGCCACCAACGAGGATGATTCCCGACACGTTCCCGCCCTTGTATCTGATCGCATTAACCTGGCCTTCCACTAGGGCAATCACTTCGTCAATGATCGGCTCGAATATGTGCTTGACCTGCTCTGAGGTCATGATCAGGAATCCGCTGTCCAAGCCGGCTTCCTCATCGTCAGGTAGGCCTGGGAATGGGACGTTCACCTCATTGTGCTCTTCTTCGTTGAAGTTGCGTTTGACGAATTCTTCGAAATACCTCAGTCCCATCATCCACGTTTTTGGTTTCTTCTCGCGCATGTGATCATATCTTTCTGACCCAATCCTCGACTTTACATGATCCTCAAAACGATAATTCAGGAATGCTGACCCACAGAGACCTCCTGTGCCAACTGCGCTCTCCTCCACTCTCAATGGATATACTTCAGTCACCTTATATGCAATCAGATCCACCGTGCCGCCACCAGCGTCACATACGACGTAGTTGTCGCCAACCTGCAAGCCGCTAGGCTGTATCGTCCTGAGTGTATATACCGCCGCAGCTTCTGGCTCACTAATGAGCTTCAACTCATGTCTGCTTCCCATGCCTGCTCTTTCGGCCGCTTGCAACGTGGCATTCTTTGCAGCATCAGACCATACTGCTGGCACTGTAAGCACAAAATCCACCTTCGTGCTCTTGATAAATCCTTCTCCATATCTTCTCGTCATGGTCTCAATCGTATGCTCGTATATCTTGGTTAAGTAGTCGGTGACCGCATCCATCACGGTACGTTCGCTATTTCTGAGCTGAGCAGCTGTTTCCAGGGGCGAGACGAAGTGTGGTAGCTTTTGGTTTCGATCGAGAAAGAGCTTGATGCAGCGAAGTCGAGATTCCTCAGGACGAAATTGAAATCCCCAGCGGATATTCTTGGGAACCACTCCATCACCATTGCCATGTCCATTCAGCTCCGCTCTGGGCTGACTGTCAATGACATTCTTCCCGTCTATATCGTACGCAATCTCGGTCGGTACTTTGTCAGATGTGATGCCATTCCCACCCGGCCAGGTTTTGATAATATCTATATCATCTGGCGTCGCGCTGTACACGGCCGCGACACCCGAATATGTTGTACCGAAATCGACACCGACAATCAAGCGATCCTCGGGAGGTGAAGGTATGGTGAGATCGGGATCTTCGAGGGACAGATTGGAGAAGTTCGTTGATGTTTCCACAGTGCCCAATGTGCCAGACCCATTCATCTTCGCCGTCTCCATGGTTGCAGCATTTCGTGTCATGCCTCCAGTCCAAATGGTTCTTGGCGCGATATCGTTAATCATGTGGTATGTTGTGAAGAGTGCGGCCTTCGCAGAGCTCTGCAGTCTTTCATGACACTGCAGACAGAAGCTAGACCTGCTGTCAAAGTGTGCTATAGAGCGACTGTTTTAATTACGCTTCAACCCTGGCCGATCAGCCCAGCGTCGCAGAGCACTGTGCGGGTTCGTCTTTCGCTTTGGTGCTATTGTTGCAAAGTTTTGATATGTCTTCAGGCCTTGGTAGCTGCCCGCCTTTCAGCCTCCTATTTTACAGACTGCATAGCAGGAGTTTGGTAACGGCGCGCGGCAACCCAAAACAGTTGGCCAACTCGCTGGCTCGGTTCCCGTTCCCGCCCTGTTCTGGTTCAGGCTGCGAGAAACAGCATGACCACTGATGCACAGGGAGGAGCTTGAGATCATTTCATGCGGTGCTGATGATCTGGGGCCGTTGCCGCCGTTCGAAGACGATGCGGAAACTCAAAATGGACTTGAGTTCATCGGCACCGTAGAAAGCTAGTTTGTGGAGTCCACCGCCAGGAAGAACGATGCATGCGCGCCGCACTTCGGAGTCTCTTGCTAGTGGACACAATGGCGATACCGTGATGTTTGACGGCAGCAGTGGAGCCGGAAGCTGAGCATTGTTCCTTGAAACACTCTCACTGTCGTACTGCACCGTCCTGCATCGTCCTGCATCGAGTATTGGCTGCATATTGAATGGAGGTCCACTTCGTTCGGGTCGTGAACCTTGCAATTAATGCTCGTGCCAAAGCATATCGATGAGGTGGTTACACAGCATTCGGATCGCGATTGTATTGCAGGCACATGGAGAGATGGCGCAAGGAACGAATCCTGAAACTCAGGGAGAGATTTCAGGCATAGAAAACGCTCATCAGTTTGACGACTTCGAAGAGCAGAATGGGGAGCAGAGAAAGATGCTCTCGTCGGAGAATGGCACAGAGGAGCCGGGGAAGCGCACAGAGGGAGAACCGAGCGAAGTCCAGGTCGAGATTCCGATGACCATTGACGTGAGCCGCAGTCGAAGTCCAGCGGTCAGAGCACCCAGCACTGAGCCAGCCAGTCCCGCGCCATCGGATGGTCTGAGGCGTGCCAGCTCCAAAATAGCCAACCTGCGCGCAGCATTTGAACGACAGAACAGCGCATCTAGTTTGCCGGTCTCCCCAGGCCCGAGATCACCAGCTTCAAAAGGGCCAGATGCGTCGAAGAGGCGGTTCGATAGGAGTCCTGCCAGAGGACAGGATGTTGAATCGAGCAAGATGAGGGAGCAACAGGAGGCAGAAATCGCGAGACTGCGGCATCGCCTGGACGAGGAAGCAGAACTGAGGCAAGCGTTTGAAGACAAGTGCACGGCACTGGAGGAGGAGACGGAAGAACTTCGCGTGCGACTCTCAGAGAAGGATGCTCAGTGGCGGAAGGAGGTGGAACGAAGAAGCAAGGAGCTCGTCAGGGAGAAGGAGAGGGCTTCGGGAGAGCTCACGAGCATTCAGCGTCAACTGTACGAATTGAAAAAGAGCATTGCGGCGGCGACCAGGCAGCAGTCACAGACCGCGGACTCCACATTTGCCCAAGAAATGCAGCATCTCTATCACGAGATCCAGAACTGGGTGGTGAACAACTTTCGTCGAGTCAAGCTCGACAAATCGCCGGAAGAAATGTGCGCTCGATTAGAAGCTGTTGCTGAGCCCAAGCACTTGGAGCATCTGAAGCCAATTTTTGAGAACTTCGACCCAGCCACGAAACTCTCTGCGTTGCAAGCTGTAACAGCCTATTACCTCATGGAAATCTTTGAGGAGCCCTTACTGTTCGGTATGCCGCTTGACGAAGCGTGGCGACGCAACGTCAAAGGAGCTGCGGAAACATTGCCGTCAATCCTGAGTCCTGCAGCATTAAACAAGTGGCGAGCGGTCACGCTGGATGCCATCAAGCAGAGCACGAAGATCAAGGCGTCGGTAGATTCTGCATCACAGAGCATGAGCGAGATGATATGCATCACTTTGAATGCCTTGACGGAGGTGGAGGAAGGAAAAGCAAAGGTCGCGTCATTGAATGCTATCATTAGACGGACCATCTCTCTGGCTCACTTGTTCCGCGTCCAGCGCGCTCAGTATGACTTCATCCTTCCACCCCCTGGTACTGCATATTCCGCCGATGCTATGGAGGACAGCTCGCTTGAAGGAGAAGATCCCGTAGCGACCACAATCCGATGTGCGACCTTCCCTGCCGTATGGAAACGTGGCGATGAAAATGGCGACAACCCAGAGCTTTCGAATGTCGTCCTGAAAGCCAACGTGCTTTGCAACCCATGAAGATGCCGTCTCTGTACTCATAATGTGTGCTCACGATTCCTTGACGATGGTCGCCGGCTAGACTCTCGTGACACTGTGGCAGAGCCTCCAGCAGATTTGGAGCCGCCACGATGCACGACTGCAAGAGAACGCTTTGTAGACTGTGGACCAGCTGTTCGCGCCTCCGTGAGGTCTGATGTAGGCAAACCAGAGAACTGTCGCGGACGATCACTCATGCCTTCGGTTGGCAGAGGAAGCTCTCGAGGGCGAATTTGAAGCACAGGACTCGACGGCGAACTTGTATCTGGCGTGCCTTGTGGAGGCGTAGCAAAATCCTTAGTCGTAATTCGTTGCAGCGCCGTGTCGCTAGGATTGCTTGAGCGACTGGACCTCAACTTGTGGATGCTTTCTTCCAGCTCACTGAATGAACCGTTGAAAATTCTTGGTGTACTGCGACCACCTCGCCGGATGACAGAGCCGAGCTGCGGAGGTCCAGCAACAGGAGAGCTAGCGCTGCCCGTGTCTTCTGTGGTGTAGTTGACCGGGCCGAGCGTAGTAGCTTCGCCCTTCTGACGATGATTGATCTGATCCTCCGCAGCACTGAAAGAAGCTATGGTCGTGGCTTTATGATCCGACACCAATGTAGCCTTTTCTGGAATTATGTGGAGCGTGGTCGTGTTTGGCGATGCTTTGGTGGTGGTGTCGCTCGACTGAAGCTGCAGCTGCGCAGCTGGCTTGACGGATGCCTTCACTTCTTCTGCTTGGCCGCCAAGGCCCTTGGTGGCCGCAGCCGGCGGCGCCGTTGTGGAATTCGTCTGCTCATTGATGTTCAGGGCTCTGGCTTCGTGCTGTAGGGCTGCTCTTGCTATGGCGTTAGACGTCCCGCCATAAGTCTGGTGCCGCCTTGGAGCAGGGCGCATCGTCTGCGCTCCTGGCTGTGGGTTTCCCTCCTCGCCGTCGGCAAGCGCATCGTACATGGACATCAGCGCCGTCTCAACGTCAGCAAGGCAGTCTTGGACCTGCCAAAGCCTGTCAACCTCTCCCCAAGGTGCTCTGTGAGTCTGCAAGAACGGCTGATAGACGCGGTCGTGAAAGTCTTCGTACAACTGTCGGAAGAAGACGAGGTTCTGGTAAGACCACGGTTCTCTTGTCCTGATCTTCTCGACCATCTTGATCACCGCGCTTGCATCCGCTCTGATGCTCAACTCGCCCTGCTGCGCCGAGAGTCGCTGTTTCTCACATGCATTGATCTCGGTGCGGATGCGAGCACATCTCTCTGCGAGCTCGTAGTGGGTGGGTTCGTTGGCGCTCATTTGCGGAAGCGAGATGGCGAGGAAATACCTCTCGAGAAAGTGATCTATGAAAAACTCAGTACGGTTTCTCATCAAGTTGTCGAATCTGCGGTTGAAGGCGTCCAGTGGCGGCATGGCTATGGCTTCGGCTTGGCGGGGCTGGTGTAGTTCGGCAAAGACAGAACGAACTTGAAGCACATACGATCTTTTATCTCTCAGAAACCTCACCTCGACATTGACACTGCTGCCTTGGGTGAGCGTACTTCACCTGCTGCCTAGCAGTCGAAAGTGATATTGAAGCAGTCGAAAGTGACGTTGAAACGGCAGTGAATGGCTTCGCTCGAGGGCTGTCGAAGTCGTTGGCGGTGTGCACCCGCAAATGGTAACAGACACAACAGGGCGGAGATCTGAGTATCAATCAGCAGAGAAATCAGATCAATCAGCAGAGAAAGAGACATTTCCTGCTCGAGGAGTGGAATCAGTCCTCCTGGCGCGATAGGTTTATACTAGCGACTCCTTCACATTCCCGTCCCAAAGGTCGTTTACTCGTCGCAGGGCGTCCGGACTCAAACCTGCAGAGACTTCACCTGCTGCTAATGGACCGGTTCGGTTTATGCCACGCGGTGCAAATTCAAAGCATCCGCTCGTGCGCGTCGAATCCAATGACAGCGAGCAGAGAGAGAATGTTGCATGGGGTTGGAGTGGCAAGGCCTGGTGCGCTTCAGCATTGTGCCATCAGAGCCACCACTAACATATTGGATGACATGCAATACCTCTGACCGGAATTCCCATACACCATGCCACACGCCGCTGGAGTAAATGACGGCAAGAAGGACGACCAGAAAAAGGACGATGGACACAAGAATCACTCAGCAGCGGCAAGGGCAGCCAAAGTGGTGGTTGGTGATGAATCGAGGAAGGCGCATTCATTATTGCCAGAGACTGAGCTGAAGACGTCCAGAACCCTACAGATCTTTGTGTGATGTATGAGCAAAGCAATAAACGGCGTTGGACTTAATAGACCAATCAGACGGTCAAATAGATTAGATAGAACATCGAACACAGCCGGACACGGGCAACTATGCTTGGGAAGATATGCGCAGCTTCATTGCTTGGTCACTGATGTCTCAGGTATTCTCAAGGCCTAGGAGACGGATCTGCCTCTCGCATCTCTCCCGGCGGGCACTGGTGAATCTTCAAATCACGCTTTCAGACTGTGACGAGGCGCACCACGAAGAAGTCATGGATAAGGTCTTGGAATATTCGTAGATATTTGCGAGGAGTCTGCAAATCAGTCTCGTAGGGATTTTGGTGAAGCCAACATGTCGGCGGCGGTTCAGACGATCTGCTTCGTCTTGCCAGTCTCAACTTCGTAGACCCAACCGCTGATAGCCGTGTCCTTGATCAAGGCGCTGTGGCTTTGCAGCCATTCAACATCGTCCTGCACAGCCTTCTCGAGCTCTGGGAAAGATTGAAAATCAAATGTCGAATCCAGGACTCCGGCTCCGACATTCTGTGCGACGATTTTGAGGGCATCAGAATTGCCGAAGGTCAGCATGCCGCAGCCAGTCTCATGTATGGTCAGCATGCGCTGTGTAGCAAGTCTTTGGGCCGCTTACATGTTTCACAAGTATGATCTCACGGGTCCCGAGGAGATGCTGGGAGATCAAAATCGAGCGCAGAGCGTCTTTAGCGTTGCCGCCGGCATTGCGAATGACATGAGCATCACCGAGCTCGATTCCGAAGGCAGACTTAGGATCAATCCTTGCATCCATACAGGTCACTAGCATTCTGCCTTAGCGTACAATCTGTCATGGTTCGAGACAATGCTGTTCTCACCAACTAAGTACTTTTTCGCAGGTGGTAACGCAAGCTGCCCTTGAGTAAATCCAGCCGCATACTGCTCATTCTTCTGCTTCAAGTTTTCGACATTTGCGGTTGAAGGGCCGGTCTGGTTCGAAGTGGCCATGTTGTAAGAAGCATGCGATCAAACAATTTTGAAACTTTCGAAGACCTTTGTTGGTGCTCGATTGCTCTTCTTGCTCCGAATCGTTGACCACGTACTATATACGAGTTGTCGTTCTTTGTGCAACAATTATTGAGCATCGCGTCATCATATAGCTTCCCAAGACTCGCGGGGTTGCCGTCACGCAATCCACAGCGGGCATGGTAAAAGCTGTTAGCTCCCAAATGATTGACCTCTTACAGCTGGCTGGACCCGGTATATGGCTGATGCTCCTTGCACAAACAGGGTAGGGTTCATGTCTTGAGATGAGCGTGGATGGCTGCAATGAAAGCTGGACCAGTTCGACAGCAACCTCCGACCAGGCGTGCGCCAGCTTTGGTCCAGGTATCGAACTCGGCCGCGAGCTGGGACGCGGCTTCACTTTTGCTAGAATGATCGTCAAGCAGTGTGCGCTGTTGCGATCCATGCCAGGTATGGGTGGCAGACTCCCAGATTTCTCCGCTGTTTGGATAGCATATCAGAGGAAGGTCGGTGTAGCGTCTGATGTGATCTAGAGCATCTGCGGTCTCGTGGGGTTGTACACAATTGATTCCAAAGCTGACTAGAGGAGACCGGTGCTCATTTACAAGGTCCAGAACGCTTTGCCACGATGTGCCATCGCAGAGGTGAGCTGCGTCCTTCATGCTACAAGCCAGCCAAGCGATTGCTTGTGGGAACTCAGTCTGGAGAAGTTCCAGCAGGGCCTTTATCTCGCTGAGATTCGGCATAGTCTCCACGGCCAGCAAGTCAACTCCAGCTTCGATAAGGACCGCAATCCTGGAGCGATGAAAACGCTTGAACTCGTCGACTGTCTTTTTGTAATCACCCGTGTACTCAGAGCCATCGGCAAGGAAAGCGCCGTACGGGCCAACACTACCAGCGACCAGGAGCGTCTTTCCAGACCCATCAGGAGATGTGGAGAAAGCATCGCGCGCGGCTTTAGCAGCTTCCACGCTGCGCTTGATCAGAAGTCGTGCCTCTGGCTCCTCTATGCCGAAATGTGTTGTAAGTCCCTCAAGCCCAGCCTGATAGGAGGCAGTAATGGCGATGTTGGCACCAGCTTTGAAATAGTCCAAGTGTACATCTTGAACGCTTGCAGGGTTCTCTTTCAACAGCTTTGCAGACCATAGAGGATGGTTCAAATCATGGCCACGTGTTTCAAGTTCGGTAGCAAGAGCGCCGTCCACGATCAGCACTCCTTCGCTGTCTAACAGAGCCTGGAACTCAGATCTGCTGAGCATCGCGTTGACTGATCCAAATTCGTTGATCTTCTGCCAGAGGGCATTCCTCGCAGTGGGCCCGAATAGTGCTGTAGCGTCGAGAGTGAGGTGGTCAGATTGCGCAGTGATGCGAAGGTCAATGTGAAATCGGTACTGCAGTCTCTGCAAACTGTCACCTGTGGCATAGCAGTAAAGAGTGGGAGGTGCTACGCCGAGAAGCCGGCGCCCACATCCGACGAGTACTGATCAACGCCATCGTCTATACGTCCCGTCTCGGACCGAAGCAGCACTTTGCTGTATCAAGAGAACGAGGAAGACAAGGTGAGGTGAAGTCGGAACAGGAATATCGCAGACGCGAGGACCAGGGCCGCCGGCGCCGCGTGAACGTTTCAGGCTCCACGTGCGTCAGGCAGTCCGAGCTGGAGCTATCGCCTTCCAGCATCCATCCATCCATCCTCCAGGCGGCCTTTGAGTCTCACCCACGCACTACAACATGTCGCTGTTCTCCTTTTCCACGCCGTTGGACATCGACATAGTCCTCGAAGCTGCCGATGAGCGACCGACAGTTGATGTAAAGCTCGACAAGAACCGGCGCGAGAAATGCCCGCTATATCTGGACGGTGAGACTGTCAAGGGCGCAGTCACAATACGGCCCAAAGATGGCAAGCGGCTAGAGCACACAGGCATCAAAGTGCAATTCATTGGCACTATCGAGATGTTCTTCGACCGCAACACGCACCACGAATTCCTCTCCCTACAGACCGAATTGGCTGCGCCAGGCGAGCTGCAACACCCGGTCACGCTTCCGTTCGCCTTCAAGAACGTCGAGAAGGCATACGAGTCATATCATGGGATCAATGTTAAGCTCAGATACTTTCTGCGAGTAACAGTCTCTCGGCGCATGGCGGATGTGGTACGAGAGAAGGATATCTGGGTATACTCATATCGCCAGCCGCCGGAGAGCAACAGCGTCATCAAGATGGACGTGGGCATTGAGGATTGCTTACACATCGAATTCGAGTACAGCAAGAGCAAATACCACCTGAAAGATGTCATTGTCGGCCGCATATACTTTTTGCTGGTGCGATTGAAGATACGGCACATGGAACTCTCTATCATTCGGCGAGAAACCACTGGTGTACCCCCAAACCAATACAACGAGTCAGAAACACTGGTACGCTTCGAAATTATGGACGGCTCGCCTTCGCGTGGCGAGACAATACCTATCCGTCTCTTCCTAGGCGGCTTTGACCTGACTCCCACATTCCGAGACGTGAATAAGAAATACAGCACCCGGTACTATTTGTCATTGGTTCTGATCGACGAAGATGCAAGACGGTATTTCAAGCAGAGCGAGATTGTTCTGTATCGACAAGCACCGGAAACGAATGAGCTTGCCATGCGACAAGCCAAGGAGATTCAGGCCAGCTAGGAAAGCGCTAATGAGACACGACATATTATCAACGGCGTCAGGATGGGAACAGCATATCTTAACACTACTACTCCTACCACCGTTGAGGACATCCGCAGTCTAGAGGAACAAGGTCGGCCTCCAGAGCGGGGAGAATGGGATGATTTGTTTCGACATGCTGCTCAGAGGAAATTGCAGAATATATCCCCTGAGGAGCTGCTGGATGGATTGTCGGGCGCAGGTGACGAATCCGGGCGTAGCAAGGTTGAATCAATGACCTGATCACTTGGTGCGTGTCTGAGAACGCAACGCGTATGGAGACCAGGCGTTAAAAAGAAGCACGAATTTGTACAGGCTAAGACGGGAGCAACGGCATTCGTGTGTCGCTCTGCAGTGCGCCGGCCTTGGAGCCATGAGGCATTAACTACTCATACGAATGGGCCATTGCTCGCCATCCATGGTCATAGTATTGATGGCCGGGACATTCATGACCGAGTGGACCCATCAATTTGCAAATCAACATTGCTGTGGATTGCTGCAGACAATGCTGACACACCAATGACGATGCCCCTTCTTTCCTAAGCCCGCATCTAACCGCAAGCCGAGCTCCAAAAGCAGCTGGAGAAATGGAACGTAGGATGATTCACCATAAACAACCCCATAGTCCTCCGCATGCCGCAATGTAACTGTGAACACATTCGTTTCTCTTCAATTGACGTTCTTGTTGGAGTTGGTCGGCACCATGTCTACACTTAGACTGTCTTATTACTCCAGAGCTTTGCGTATACAGCAGCTTCGCCCGAATCATGCGTCCCGCTCTCTCTTCTACCGCCAGTTCCACGCCTCAACACGACGTGATGTCGTGAAGCCGTTCCTTCTTGCAGACATCGGAGAAGGTATAACGGAATGTCAGCTGATACAATGGTTCGTGCAGCCAGGTGCTCGCGTAGAACAGTTCGACAAGATATGCGAAGTGCAGTCGGACAAGGCTAGTGTCGAGATTACAAGTCCGTTCGACGGAGTGATCAAGAAACTTCACTATGAGCCGGACGATATGGCAATCACGGGAAAGCCATTGGTCGACATCGACATTCAAGGAGAGCTGAGCGAAGCAGACCTGGAGAAGCTGGGTGGTACCGAGAGAGACGAGTCTGCAAGCAAAGATGATGGTAGAGAGAGCAGGGCGGGAGGTCAAGAGGAGGAAGGAAGGTCAGATCAACAGGAGCAGGTAGAGGCGGAAGGTGTTGGAGCCGAACATACACCGCCTGAAGCAAGCAAGCAACCATCATCTCAACCACGACAGCCTCCGTCGCAATCGAGCAAAGAAGACAAGGGATCGCTGGCAACGCCTGCTGTGAGGCATCTGATCAAAGAGCACGATTTGAACATAAACGATATCAATGGCACTGGCAAAGACGGCAGAGTTCTGAAAGAAGATGTGCATCGTCATGTTTCCCAGGGAGGCCAACAGTCGCAATCACAATCGCAACAGACCGCGTCGTCAATGCCAGCTCGTCCCACAGCCTCACGCGAAGATCGCGCAGTTCCCCTCACCAACGTTCAATCGCACATGTTCAAGACCATGACGAGGTCACTCAGCATTCCACAATTTCTCTACAGCACCTCTGCGGACATGTCCGCAGTCACCAGCGTGCGGAAACGGCTCAGTGCATCGACTGGTCAAAAGATGACACACCTTGCTTTCATAATGAAGGCGGTCAGTATTGCGTTCGCAAAACATCCTCTGCTGAACGCCGCGCTCCACGTGAAAGATGCCAGGAAAGCAGAGTTGACATATAAAGGCGCCCACAACTTCGGCATTGCGATCGACACACCTTCAGGCCTCCTTGTTCCTGTTGTAAAGAATGTGCAAGATCTGAGCATTGCAGAAATCGCGGCCAAGATGAAGGAGCTGTCGCAGAACGCTCGCGACAACAAGCTGGCTCCGGGAGATTTCAGTGGAGCAACTTTCACCGTCAGCAACATTGGTTCGGTTGGAGGAGGCGTCGTGGCGCCAGTGATCTCAGAGCCACAGGTAGCAATTGTTGGAGTCGGTCGAAGCAGGATCGTTCCAGCATTCGATGAAAACGATGCGCTCGTGAAGAAAGAAGAGCTGGTGCTGAGCTGGAGCGCAGATCATAGGGTTGTTGATGGTGCAGAGTGCGCGAGGTGCGCTGAGCGGGTCAAGTCCCTGCTGGAAGATCCGACCGCCATGCTCGTGGAGATGCGGTAGTCACTACGACCTGCTCGGTTACCCTGGCTCTTGAGAAGCTCATGCTGCTGCAGCATGGATGTTCACAGGACCAAAAAGGTGGCAACTCAGAATCGACAGAGCTCTGCTCATGAGGGCGTGGAAAGTCTCTGATGTCGAGATCATCGTTGAATTATTGGATCACTTATCCGGGCATGGAGGAAGTAGTCGTATAATTCTCGGCCTCCACGGCATGCATGATGGTGGATGAAAAAAAGTCGTTCGGTACCCATCAGCGCGCTATCTCGGCTTTGGGGACCGATCGATTCGAATATCGCATGGGCTGGTTCCTGGCATACGGTAGAACTAACGTGGGGCTAACGCCGATGGTAGCCGGAGGTAGAAGATCTCTAAATGCAAGCAAGGTCCAGCAGTCGCATTCCACGAGCTTAGCAGGACACAATTTCCATTCTACATCTAGACGAGTGTGCTGGAAATGGCCACGAGAACAGTTCAGAGCTGCAGACAGCAGGTCGCTTCGTCTCTAAAGGCTCAATCTGCATCAGCAGGTAACAGAAGCATCCAGACAAGTGCCAGAGCGACTCTGGCGAACTTCAGAATACCTACAGTCAACAATGAGCCAAACGCAAGTCGCGATACTACACCCTAGGCAGACCAAGGCTCACGATTTGCAGAAACACTACGAGAAAGGTTCAGTCGATCGATCGAAGCTCAGCGACGCAATGCAAACACTCAAGTCGAAAGCACCCTTACAGGTCCCAATCGTGGTAGCAGGGAAAGAGTCGAGAACACAAAAGATCTCTGAACAGCCTATGCCATCGTCTCACAAGCACTCATTGGCATCATGGTCGAATGCCACAACATCAGATGTCAGCACTGCCATTGACTCTGCCCTGGCAGCGCGAAGTTCGTGGGAGAGCATGCCGTTCGCAGATCGAGCTGCAGTCTTTTTGAAGGCGGCAGATCTTGTGTCCGGAAAATACAGATACGATATAATGGCTGCAACCATGCTCGGCCAGGGTAAGAATGCCTGGCAAGCTGAGATTGATTCTGCGGCGGAGCTTTGCGACTTCTTCCGCTTTAATGTTCAGTATGCGCAAGATGTATACTCTCATCAGCCAGTGCATCACAGCCCAGGCGTTTGGAACAGAGTGGAGTACAGGCCGCTCGAAGGCTTCGTCTATGCCATCACACCCTTCAATTTCACAGCTATCGCAGGCAACTTACCTTGTGCACCAGCATTGATGGGTAATGTGGTTGTTTGGAAGCCATCTCCAGCTGCGATCGCCTCCAACTGGCTTCTCTACCAGATCTTGATTGAGGCTGGCTTACCGAAGGATGTGATACAGTTTGTGCCGGGAGATGCGGTGGAGATCACAAAGACCGTGCTCGCGCACCGGGAATTCTCAGCACTGCACTACACTGGCTCAACAGCAGTATTTCGTTCATTGTATGGACAGATTGGCCAAGGAACTGCGGAAGGCCGCTACAGGAGCTATCCTCGGATTGTTGGAGAAACTGGGGGGAAAAACTTTCATTTGGTGCATGGCTCTGCGGACATCCACAATGCGGTCATCAACACAGTGCGCGGTGCTTTTGAATATCAAGGTCAGAAGTGTTCGGCGACTTCGCGTGCGTACTTCCCGAAGAGCACGTGGGATCAAGCCAAGACACTCCTGGTGCAGGAAACGGAAAAACTCAAGATTGGTACACCAGAAGACTTCGACAACTTCATTGGGCCCGTCATTCATCAGCAATCATTCGACAAGCTGTGCAAGGCGATAGACCAGAGCAACCAGGACTCTGAGCTTGAGCTTATCGTCGGCGGCAAGTACGATGGCAGCAAAGGCTTTTTTGTGCACCCGACGATTTACGAAACGAAGAATGCTCAGCACCAAAACATGAAGACAGAATTCTTCGGCCCATTGCTCACGGTGTATGTATATGACGACACCAGAGAGCCCGAGAAGGCGTTTGCCGACATTTGCGAGACGATCGACAAGACGTCTGAATATGGCCTGACGGGAGCTGTATTCGCCCAGGACCGCAATGTGCTCAACTTGGCCGAGAATGCGCTTCGGAACGCTGCTGGCAACTTCTACCTTAACGTCAAGTCTACCGGTGCTGTCGTTGGACAGCAGCCATTCGGCGGAGCAAGAGCGTCGGGCACGAATGACAAGGCAGGCTCTGCCAACCTGCTCTCTAGATTCGTGAGCATGCGTGCTATCAAGGAGGACTTTGTGGGTGCGGGTGAGGTGATATATCCATCGAATGTTGTGTAATCTATGTACGATTTACCACTCTCCACAAGGGTGCACCAAAATCCGCATGCTTTCTCTTTGCCAAGCCAACCTGGCCAAGTCCCGTGACGCGCGAAGTTTCGAACTTCCTGCTTCCCTTCAGTGCCCGATCGGCTCGGCTGCAGCTGCTTGCCCTTTCCTTGTAAGTTGTAGCGTCGGCTTTTGAGCGGCTCCGCGAACGTCACAAGCGCTGCCGCCGATGGAGTCGGCGGACGTAATGTCACACGAGAAGTTGGAGAGTCACCGCCCTGAACCGCCTGAACTGCCTGAACTGCAGTGCCCAGTCCATCGCCGCTCTCATCGCCAGCGCATGGCATGGCATGGCATGGCATGGCATGGCAGTTGTCGTCGGCTGCGCCCGAAACCTGCCCGGCAGTCGTGGCGTGGTGTTGCCCGAATCATATAAGGTCAACACCTGCAGTCCCTTTCCTTTTCCGCTGCCTCCGTTCGTAGACTTCTTCTCGCACACCGAAAGACGCTTGCACCGCCTCGGAGCTGCGACGAATTCGAATTTGGACAACTGAATCTTGCCTGCCGCGTCAAGACATCTCACTGATCCCTGTGCTTCGAGTGCAATTGAGAGAGCCGTTGTTACCCTATCTGCCAGAAGGAGAATATTTCACACAAAGGCAAAAAATCAAAGGCATTCTAAGAAGCGCTTATCACCATGTCGCAAGAGGTCAAGTTGGTCCCTGACATTCCTCCGCAACAACAATACCTTCCGCCAACGCCACCTTCCGAACCCACCTCAGAATTACCCAAAATGACGAGCCACTCGAACGGCAGCGAGCTTGCAAGATCTAGCTGTCGGCATAAGCATATCTGGGTCATAACAGGGCCGGCTGGTTGTGGCAAGACGTCAGTAGCAGAGTTCCTGCACTCCACATACTCGTTACCATATCTGGAAGGCGACACGGTAAGTGGCACACTTGGCTGGTCTCGAGTACCGAGAAATTACATGGAGCACTGACATGATTTCCTTGCAGTTCCACACTCCAGAAAATGTAGAGAAGATGGCCAACGGACACCCGCTCACGGATGCTGACCGATGGGACTGGCTCGTACTCCTGCGAGAAGAAGCCATCAAGGCATTGAAGACTTCGGATGGAGTCATTGTGACATGCAGTGCTTTGAAGCGCAAGTACAGAGATGTTATGCGAATTGCAACCTACCACCATCCGGAGATCAGAGTGCACTTCGTGTTTCTGAAGGCATCCGAGGCCGTTCTCATGGATCGTGTCCGTGCGAGGCAGAATCACTACATGAAGGACTATATGGTTCGCAGCCAATTCGAAAGCCTTGAAACACCGACTGAAGAGGAATTTGACGTTCTAGCTGTGGATGCCAGCGGGACATCGAAGGAGGTACAGGACTTGGCTCTGGCGACTGTCGAGCAGGAGATGAAGGCTGATGCATAAGACGGGAGGACAGATGGTTCGGTGAGACCGCTGTGCGAGGACAGCATCAGTCAGGGAGGCATTTGTTCTAGGGCGTTTGCGAGGCGTAGCGGGGGATATACCACCAGATCGTGGAATCTTACTTTTGTACTTTGCAGAAGCCTTTCGGCAACACCACGAAGCGTTCAGTCCCACTGGATGACCTCCGTCTCAGATTTCCATTACCCTTTTGCCCGTACCAAATTCCTGGAAGGGCCTGTACCCCGATCTCATCATGCATTCTCCCATGCTTCCTCGACAATGTCCGCCAATTCCTGCAACGTCTCAACCCTCAATTGAAACCCAAACTTCTCCTGCGCACCTTCTGGGTTGCCACCCATAAAACCCGCTCGGTCGACCCATACACTCTGCAACTCGACCTCTTTTGCCGGCTGATGGTCATGAAACAAGGACTGTGCTACGTGACAAAGCTCGTCTTTCTCTACACCGAAGTCGCTGCGGATGTGCTCAAGCAAATAATGAAAATTGCGAAGATCAGGCTTGTAAGACCCAATATCTTGAGCGGTGTAGATCTTGTCAAAATGGCATCCTTTCAACGGCCCCTCTAGCGTCTGATTGAAGGATGCAATGTCGACATTCGAGAGTGGTACGAGCTTGTATCGTTTCCCCAGCGACTGTATGGCCTTGACGGTGTCGGGAAAAGCCGGGTACGATCCGATTTTGCTTCCATAGTCCGTGGCGGCTTGATTCACTTGTTCCTGCGTCAAGTTGCCGTTCTCTACAACTTTGAGCTCCTTGGCGTATCTTCGAAGTCCTTCGGCAATGATTTCGGATTGTCGCACAGTGGGATACTCTCGTTGAACAGTTGTGTCGTGCCTCTCGATGCTGAGCATGAGTTCTTTGTGATCTTGTGGAAGGTAGGGTCCGAGGGCTGTTGCTCGCGCGGATTGAGCTATTCCCTTCTCCCAGTCGACTAGTGTTCCGTAGATGTCGAAGGATAGAGCCTTGAGTTTTGTCCATGGGATGGTCGATGCCATTTTTTCTTTTGTGGAAATCTTGATGATTGGAGGAATTGTGTGGATGTAGAGATGCAGATGGGTCGGGAAATCAAACAGATTGATGCGCTTTCTAGATTCGAGGTCGACACGCCTTTCTGCAAGAGAAAGTCCCGGGCTGGTGGAAGCATCACGTCTGAATCTTCAGTCCGCCCTTCGATTGCCTGATCGGGTGAGCCTTGGCAAGAAGCAAACGGACCGGGGTGCCCTGTCTCCCTTCAGATGCTCCGTGGCTTCAGGCTCACGGGCCTCGCACTGCTTAGATTGTTGGCGGCCGTATTGCCAATGATACTCGTACTAGAAAAGAACAGTCTACTGCTAGACAAAAACAAAATGTGCTGTGGATCGCTGCACAAGCAATCCAAGAATCACGAAGCGGCCTCTCGTGGTTTCTATACTGAAGGTCGGCTTCACGGTCTCGGCCGTAGTCCTTTGACATTGCTAACGCATATCCGGACTTTTGCGGCCTATAAGACCGCTTGCCTTTACGTATCACTTATTCTGAAGCCTTATATCTCTCTTGCTTCCTATTCTATATCGTTGTTTAGTAAAGTCGAAGTTATATAACGAAACATTTGAAAACCGACCAATCACAGAGCGCTAAGAAATCGACATTACGTAGCATAACCCACGAGCGGGCTCCCCTTGGTTACCTGACCTTCGCTACGCTTTGGGAGGTACCAGAGGTCGCCCGCTTCGTGAAACAGATGATGTGCCGTCATCGTCACTGCCACCGGAGAAGAACAAGCGCGCCGCGCCAAGAGCCGCCATGCTGAACTCTGTTCGTCGTCACCTCACCTCTCACAGCCAACGTTCGTTCTCACAATCTCACGTTCTGCCACTTCACAGATATCGGCCAGTGGCTACATCGACGACATCCTCATGTGGAGCGTGATTTGACGCGTCAAGATGCGTACTTCCACGTCCGCGAACTTATCAGGGATCACCACGACCGCCGTTTGGCATTCAAACACCACAGCGGCCTTCCTACTTCCGAGACAAAACGGAGCAGATTGTGCCAGATGAACGAATAGCACTTCACTCGGAAGAGCATGGCTTCCACGTTGTTGCTAAGGCGATTGATCTTGTGGTTCCGGTTGTGCAGATAGCACCCCGACCATTCTCGCCAGCTGTGTGAGACTGCACCGTTGGTGAGGTCGTAAGGCAGGTGACCTTGGACTTCAGCTCGAGCGTACTGCCAAGAAGTCAGTGGCTAGCATGATGAACGCGATATGGACAGTGTGGCCATGTTCACTCCCTGGAGAGCTCAAATCATTCCTAAAATCTGGAACACTGTGCAGCGAGACCATGATCGCCAATATTTGCGCTATAAGGTTCTAATGAATCCTCAAATGTGCAGTTCACGAGTGAATTGTTGCCTTGTCACAGACATTCAAGCCGCGCACATGCTTTGACTCGATGCAAGCTACCAGCTTGTGCCATTCACTGACCGAATCTTCACATGCATGATTAAGTTCCGCGCCTTCCACTTTCCAGCCGCCAAGTTTAAGTTCTAACCTCAGGACTCCAACATTAAGCATTGCACTCGCAACTCCAACACCTGCGACACCATGGCCAGCGACCGCCCCCCGATAAGGAGGCCACTCTCTAGCGACGACTGCAGCGACTGTTTCAGACACGTCAGCGACCCAGAGTGGCAGGAATTTAAGCGCGCCAAAGAAGGGGAACAAATCGGAGATGAGGAGGTCTTGAAGGGCTTCGGACTCTTCGAGACGTCGGTCGAGTCGGCAGCGCAACCGCCACGCTGTCCAAAGTCTTGCTTGGTGTGCTCTGGACAGTATCGCACACTCCATTCGCAAGCGAATATACACACCCTTCGATACGAAAAGGCATTCTCCGACGCAGATGCTGCAAATCAGATCTCCAACAGTTTGAAGGCGATCAGAGCCAACTTCGCAGCGATCCGTCAACTTATACAGCAATATGGAGACACATTCGTGAGACGCTGGTCAAAGAAGAGTGCTGCAAAACGATACAAGCTTCTGATCTCAGTCATGCCGCAAGTATACAAGCGTGGCAGTGATGGGCTATCGTTGGGCAAGATATCCTGCAGCAACCTCGCAGATTGCAGAGGTACACTTCTCCTCCCGTGGCTCAACATCGAATACCTCAGTCAAGATCCACACAGCTTGTTCGCATTACTGCATGCCCGCACCACCAACAGTCTCTCCTCCTGGGCTCTATTCGACCAATATCAGCTCGCCGGGTCTTTCTCTCAGGGCGCTCTGTCAGTCGCATACAACCCGCACTGCGTGGCAATGGACGGCGGCGATGATTCCGCATACGGAGTGCTGGTACCCTGGGACGTGGAGAAAGCTCACCGACGGGAGATCATTGGTTTCCCTATGGCTCAGCTCATCTGCGATGCACAGGAGCTACTGTCGTCCAATCTCAAATCCATTGTCGAAATGGTCTTGGAGAACGGCCTTGAAGAAGCAACCCAGGGCAATGGCAACTGGATCAGGTTGATTGGGAGCGATTTTAGAGCCGACAGCGACAGTTCGAGCTTTCAGCGCCGTCCGATGGCATTCACCTCTCCCCCGAGCCTTTGCTTAGACAAGATGCTAGAGACCTTCCGTTCACGACATGCCTCGGCGATGGACGAAGCGGAGCTGCTGCAAACAGATCCTGCTTTCGCGAAAGACCTCCTCTCAACTGCAGAGCGCTCCATTGTGCACAAGACTGTAAGTAATCCTTATGCTACCGATACCAGGCACGAGAGATTTGATTGCATGCTAACATCGTTTTTCTCCCTTGACAGAGCTGTGATCGCGTTCGGTCTTCCATACTCCCATCGCTAATGACAGACAGCCTTTGTCGTCTACAGATGATGTTCCAGGTCTGCGAACAGATTATTCTCACACAGCAGGCTTCTCAGAAAGAGCCCGACCAGGAGTACCCTGCAGAGTATGCGAGCGCTCTACGCACTCTGGATGCAGTCCTGGCTGCCTTCTTTGATGAGCTCCTCTCGAAGTCACGGAGACTTGCAATGCACCTCGGGCTCTTTGACGCGCACTTCGACTTCGGACTATGTGGCTACGATATTCCATCGGCAACGAGGAAGTCAGATAAGGACCCTGTGTTCAACGCACTGAATGCAATGTACGGACACAATCGCGAAGACTGTGATCTGCCTGGACATTTCATTCACCAAGCTCAGAGCTACCCCGATCGATTACCTTTGAAGTTGTCGGAATGCCTATCGGACATGGCCGCTGTGGATGAAGCTGTGATGTCGATTCGCTGCTTTCGTCCAAGCTTTGGTGAGGCTGATGTTGCAACGATTCCAACGATTGCTGCGAAGCATCAAGACTGCAAGCACTGGAGAACGGTGGCTTATGACGACCACGTCACGGAGAATATTAATAATTATCGGCCTCAATTATCCAGAAAACTCGAGGCACTCATCAAGGTTCCCTGTGTGGACAGCAAGATCACTTCGAGATCAGTCACCAACTTCGATGCTAGCCACGAGAAGCTTGGCGCATTCTGGTCAGAATATCGTAAAGTGCGAAGCACCTTACTGCAGGAGAAGCAGTGCCCGGAAGACCTACTACCAGAGGCAATGGATACTCTCAGATTCGCCCTATCGAAGGAGTATATAAACTCGAGGGAGAGCGAGCGACGCCAGATTATTGCTGCAGCCAGAGAGAAGGGTAAGCAATATCCTCAATTGAACATATTCACATGCTAATGTTGTGCTTAGAGGATGTATCCCGGAGACGCCAGACTTCGACACCAAGCAAACGTCTCGTCCCACAGCACGCTGCGAATGAGCCGTGCCAGACAGTCTGGGGCTCCGAGGACACACAAGAAACGCCTAGGTCAAGACTTCAGATGAAGGAAAAAGTCAAGACGCGTCCAGATGTCCCGATCCTGCCGCTCCCCAGAACCGAGGATCCTCCGCAGAACGAGGGCGAGAACGATGTCGCAGATGAACAGGCTGAGGATCGCCTTCACGTGAGCAGCCATACCATGGACATTGTGCACCGAATGTTCGTCACGTACGGCAAGCGCATGGCAGGGAGCGTACGATGGAACGTCTTCGTTGCAGCAATGGAGGACGCTGGGCTTGCTGCTGAGCATGACAACGGTGGCTCGGAAGTCACCTTCCGAGACATCAAGAGAGGCAAAGGCTCTATCGTGTTTCATGCGCCTCATCCGGACCCACGCATCAACCCGATTTGCATGCGAGCGTATGGAAAGCGTCTCCAACGCCAGCTTGGCTGGTCCTATGACTTGTTCGTTGAGCGAGGGTAGTACGAGGAGATGAGAAGACTTGTAACGAGAAGGGATAGACATGCCACAAATGTATCAATCTGCACGCTTCTTCGGGAAGTATAGTCAGTCACAAGGCTGCTTAGATCACAGCCATCGAGTCACAGCGTTCTATGTATGATTGAGTGGTTATCATCTTATTCTAGTGAAGTGAACGCGGGCGATGCTTCGTACTCACGAGATGTCGTCTAATAAGCCTTGGCGGAAGATACGGACCGTGCTACTAACCTCCCAATCATAAAAATCTATCAAGGATCAATCGAGCGAGACAAATGTATATAGTCGAGTGGTTCTCATCTTCTTATAGTGAAGTGAACGCGGGCGATAGAACGTTCGTGCTCACGAGATGGCGTCCAGGAACCCTCAGCGTAAGATACGGACCGTGCTACTAACCTGCTAATTATAACGATCTATTAAGGATCGATCGAGCGAGACAACTCTTGAAGTGAGTAACCCGACTGTACTCCGTGTGCGCGCAAGTCCACCTAGGCTACACTCACGCTTCTTTAATCGGCGTATAAACCACGCCTCTAAATATCCAAGCAGTGGATTGATTCTATTCCATTAGTATCGCAAGAAGTTCGATCTAAGACAGGGAAGGTGGAGTGATCAAAGCTAGCGATACTTCGTACGGAGTCACGAGATGAGCGTCCAACAATAACCCTCGGCGTAAGAGACGGACTACGCTACTAACCTCCTAATCATGAGAGTCCATCAATCAAGCATCGATCGAGTGAGACAACCCTTCAAGTAAATCCAAAGTTACCATGACGCACCTCGTGTCGAGAAAGAAACCAACCGAGCTGATAAGGTGGAAGTCACATTGTGTGTTGAAGCAGTTGGGATCGACTTACTGGATCACCCGTGACCTTTCATCATCAACTCCTCCGGTCTCCCGGTGTGCAACGGTCTTGACTCGGTTATCGTTCGGTGCAGTCGTGGCCGACAAGCTGGAAAGCATTTCGGTGCTAGGTGAAATGCTGTTCTTCGTCCTCAGATGATCTTAAATTCTGGATTTTGATCGCTTTGAGGGTCGTGGGGTCGTGTGCTCTCGGCGTGTCCACGTGACTGGTACACCATCGTGCTCTGGAGTCTGGAGTCAAATAGTAATTAAGATGCGTGTTTACTTGGGTTGGGAAGAGAGGATGCTTTTGCTGCCATGATGATCGGTTGATTGATTCAAATACCTAGCATCAGCGACTGATATGCAGTCTAGAGTTCGTCGAACGAGCGACAATTATCTGTGCGATCGTGCCGGCTCCAAGCCGCGATCTTGCCCCAAAAAGAAGCAGAGGTTGAGAGTTCGCGCCATATCCCTGTTCTCACAGTCGTGGTAGGGTATTACTTCGCACCTATTGCCGACTTCGCGGATAATGATATTGGATGTGATTTGGCGGGGGCAGGCATTCAGCGTGCAGAACGTGAGATCGAGGGCAAGCTCTCTACGCACCATTGCTAAGACATGACAAGCTTCACATGGTAGTCCGATCCCGCCACAAGGCAGCCGATGACGACTCCCGGGACGCGGTGCTGAATGCATCTGCATCGAATCTAACACGCGCATCCCTCCTTTGGCCCTGCTTCACCTCTCGCATTCAGATTGACACTGCTGTTGTTCTGACCTCCATTGATCGCAGCTTGTGTACCGCCGCCTGCACCGGCTCTTGGGCCCTTTAAGCTTGTCTCCGGAATAGCATTAGCGATAGCCGTGAAGACCTCGCTCACGTTATGTCCGGTCTTGGCGCTTGTCTCGAAGAACAACAGGTTCTCCTCATCCGCATACGACTTCGCTTCCTTGGTGGTGACCTTGCGCACCGTCCCTGCGTCTTCCTCGGTCTCATTCTCGGCCTCGGCATCTTGAGCGTCTGTCGCAGCGTTGTCGTCGTCGCACAGGTCCAGCTTGTTGCCCACAAGGGCAATGACAATGCCGGGCGAGGCTTGCCGCTGAAGCTCGGCCACCCAGTGCTTGGCTTTTGTCAGACTGCTGGGCTTCGTGATATCGTAGACGACGAGGGCGGATTGTGCGTTGCGGTAATACATGGGTGCCAGACTCGCGAATCGCTCCTGCCCTGCGGTGTCCCATATCTCGAACTTAATTGTGCGGGTCGGCAGCTGGCATTTCTGGGTAAGGAAGGCGGCGCCGATGGTGGGTTCCTTATTCGGTTGGAAGTCGTCGTTGACGAAGCGCAGAACGAGAGATGACTATGCGCAGACAGTCATGGTCAGGCAAGGTCTACATGGGGTGTGTGGGCACTGGATTGCACGTTGTCACTCACCTTGCCTACGGCCGCCTCTCCAAGCAGCACAAGCTTGACGCTGCTGCTCGGCTTGGGGGCTGCGGCGCCTCCTGCTTGATCGGCCATGGATGTGTGTGATTGCGTGGTGGATGGAGGTGGAGAGGTCTGTCGGTTCGCCCGCAGGCTCCGGCCGACGTTGTATTCGCTCGTTTTGAAGGTTGACTGGGGATGGCGCAAACAAGAATAGGCTAGCGCTACACTGGATTTTGCGATCAGCTTGGAGGTTGCTCAAAGATGTCGCGATGATGGTGAGAGGCGGGAAGGTTCAAGCAGGCGGCAGGCGCCGATCGAGGAGTACGAAGCTGATGGCTCTTGGCATACCTGGTCTACACATGACGGCAAAGTCAGGCAGGCTCAAGGTCTGACTCAGCATCTTTCGAGGCGGCGGCATAAGGGGTTCGCCGGCGACGTCGCACGCAAGGCAAGCATCGCTATTGTCGCCATCTGCCAGCTGCTTTCCACCGCACGCTCGTGTAGACAGGCGGCGTTCCAGCGAGTCCGTCCAGAGTGCAGAGCAGGCTGTTAATGTCATTCATCAAATATTACCTAAGGTGGGCATGGTAATGGTGAAACTGGCTCGCCGATGGAGTCGGCAGGGTCACAGCCAATCACGCGCGTCTGGCGGCTCTTGTTCCTGGCGGCTGCGTCACAGGCGAAGAGTGAAAACACGCCAGATCGTCCTCACTCTCTCCTCGCCAGTTTCACCTCGCCATCACGCGGCATTGTTATTGCTGCACCGCACGGAGTAAACAGCCTCCATCAATCCAGGTCTCAGAAACAGTGCGCTCGAAGCGCCTCGCCTCGCCCAGCTTGGCATCTGCATCTGCATGTGCATTGCGTCTGCATCTCTCAAACGCTTCACTTCGCTTCGCTTGTCCACGGGGACCACTTTTCGCTCCCGCACACACCATCGCCGCAGGAGGCGCCAGCAGTCTCCACTCGCCAGCCCACCGCGCCGTTTGTTTGAACTTCCACCTTCTGCTTCTCTCATCATCAGCATTCCACGCTGCCGTCTCTCCTCCGCCTCCTCCGCCTCCTCCTCCTCCACCACACTTCTGACTGTCTGCCGCTCGTTCTTCTCTTCACACGCAGCCGTGCTTCACGGCGACACCAAGCTGGACTTTGGATCGCCAACACCCTCCTTCCTGGCCACATCTCGACACCCACCCATTCGAACCTTATCGCGTCTGCTGCCTGACCCTGCACTTCATCAACCACCGTTGCACACAGCATCCATCCACACCTTCGCTTTCACTCACTCACCGGATCTTGTGCTGGCACGATCCACACTCACAACGCGCGTCGCCTCTCTCGACACATGCATTGTTCACTCGACACAATTCCGACTGCATATCAGCCTCCGATCTGATCTCGCGACGAACTGACATCACTCACTTCGCTCCCTGACAACACCCCTTTCGATCATGCCCTTTCCGACACGGCTCCTGCTGGCCGCAGCGCTACCTCAAGCTCTGGCTGGAGGCCACGAGGAGAGCGCGAGCGAAAAGGCCGCCGCCCTCGTCAATGACAAGATCGTCAAGTATATTGGCTGGACCTGGGCATGCATTATTGGCACTCTGCTCGTCTATCGCTGGACCCTCAACCTTTTGCAACACGTTCGTCGACTTGCCAACTTGAATCATGGCACCTCGAGTGACGGCCGACAACGCTACTTCAGCATACCTGACGAGACCTGGGCCAAGATCAAACGTCACTTCATCGTTGCTCCACTGTTCAGGCGACGGCACAATCGCGAATTCCGAATGTCAGCAGCCATCAATATCGGCACTCTTCCAGGCCGCATGCAATCATTCTGGCTGATTGGATATTTTGCCCTCAACGTCACCTTCACAGTTTGGAACATCGACTGGCACGGCGAAGAAAAGTACTCCATCGGCCTGAGCCGCACTGGAATCCTTGCAACTGTCAACATGGTGCCTCTCTTCCTTCTTGCTGGCCGCAATAACCCCATGGTCTGGCTTTTTGGAATCTCCTTCGACAACCTCAACATGATTCACCGATGGATTGGACGCATCGTGGTCTTTGAAGCCACTGCGCACGCCGCTTTCTGGTTCGGCGGAAAGGTTGCAAGCATGGGTGCAGAAAAGGCGTACAAGGTCATCGCATCAGCAATGGCCTCGAGCACATTCATCCTCACTGGAACCATTGGATTTTGTGCATTCGGTGCGATCCTACTCCAGTCACCTTCCATCGTCCGCCACGCCTTCTACGAGACCTTTCTGCACGTACACATTGCACTGGCAATCACCGCTGTGGTCGCTGTCTGGATGCATCTGCAGGGCATGGCCGCTCAATTGATACTTGCGGGAGCTTTGATCTGCTGGATTTTTGACCGGCTGGCTAGAGTCTACCTCATCGTCCGATACAACTTCAGCAGAAAAGGCCGAACCAAGGCCGAGATCGAGGCTCTTCCTGGCGACGCCATTCGCGTCACTCTTCGCATGGCCAAGATGTGGAAGTTCAGGCCCGGACAACACATCTACCTATACATTCCGAGCATTGGAATGTGGACTAGTCATCCGTTTTCGCTGGCTTGGAGCGAGGAGAGCGCTGACCTGGCAACCGAGAAGGGGCTTCCAATGTCGAGACAGGATATATTCGCAGCGAAGACGACATCAGTCTCTCTGATCATCAGACGACGAACTGGCTTTACCGATACGCTCTACAAGAAGGCTGAGTCATCCACAGCCGGTCCCATGGTGACGACCGCGTACGTTGAGGGACCGTATGGCCATGAGAGCTTCCAGTCATACGGCACGGTGATGCTGTTTGCTGCTGGTGTCGGAATCACCCATCAAGTACCCCACGTGCGCGATCTCGTCGCCGGCTACTCAAATGGCACGTGCGCCACGCGAAAGGTCGTCCTCGTATGGATCATCCAAAGTCCTGAGCATCTCGAATGGATCCGTCCCTGGATGACACAGATTTTGGGCATGGACAAACGTCGTGACATCCTCAAGATTCTGCTCTTCGTCACCCGACCGAGAAGTACAAAAGAAATCCACTCACCTAGCGCGTCGGTGCAGATGTTCCCTGGCAAGCCGGACGTTGGCGCTCTGATCACCAAAGAGCAGGAGCACCAGGTCGGAGCTATGGCCATCAGCGTATGTGGTGTTGGTAGCCTGGCTGATGATGTGAGGAGAGGCATGAGAGACCGCTGCGAGCATACCGAGATTGACTTTTTCGAGGAGGCATTCTCGTGGTAAACCTCGTGACGAGCCCAAACCTCGTGACGAGATGAGTTGGGTAGAATTGCATGACGGAATTGACGCTGCGCCTTCGAACGAACTTTTTTTCCTAGGTGCTGGCGCCACGCATTAAGGACTTTCTTTTCCGGATCAGACCCAGTGTACATTATCATAGCAAGCGTTTTCGCGGTTTTTGTCGTCACACGACTGATCGTCAACAGGACGCGATAGAGAAGTGAATGAAATGAGCAGGTTCATTGACCAAAGCGTCCGTGCCCCCACCTTTTGATTCATACATATATCTCGTGGCCTCGTGCATCCCCTTGACGCCCAAGGCAATAGTAAGGTAAAAACTTTACTTCTGGTGCTTTGACGCATCATCTTTCATGCCGGCCTGAATCCACTTTTGACTCTCAGCAGCATGCTTCTCCATGGCTTCCTTGTCAGCAAGAAGCTCTTTCATGCGATATGGGTCTGGCACGTTCGCGCCTTTCTTCACCGCCGGTCGAGCCCACATTCTCTCCTCCCAGGCCTTGAGATGAGGGAAGGGTTCAATGTCGATGCCTGCCCAGCCTGCTGCAGAGATCCAGCCCCAGTGCGCGATATCAGCAACAGTGCATTTGTTGCCGACCAAGTATTCTGATTTGGAATCTGCGAGATGCTTGTCCAGAACAGCGTAGAGTCTTTTCGTCTCATTTTGATAGCGATTGACTTGGCGGGCATGATTAGCATTCCTCGCTCACACGTCTGCTACAAAATTCAAGTTCTGATCATCACTCACTTCCATAGGGAATTTTCTCTGGCGCGTAACGGAAGAAATGGTTTGCCTGTCCTTGCATGGGTCTGGCAGCAAACGTGTTGCGTGAGCTCGAGCACCCAGTCAGTCACTACTGAGATGAGATCTACTACTCACCCAACACCGGCGTTCAAAAAATATAACCAACTCGTGACTTCCACAGCCTCACGAGATCCGGGCGGATAGCTAATGACATGGTCCTTGTCATATCGGTCGACGAGATATTGCATGATGCTTCCACTCTCGAAGACTCGGATGGGCTCGCCATCGGTGAAGGTGTCGGTGAGAGCGGGTATGCGTCCATTTGGGTTGATTTTGAGAAACCATGGCTCCTTCTGTGTGTTCTTGGAGATGTCGATTTTCGTGAATTCGTAGGGGAGGTGGAGCTCCTCGAGGGTGATGGAGATTTTGACGCCGTTTGGGGTTTGGGTGGTGTAGAGGTGGATGTTGGGAGATGCCATGTTTGGGTCAGCGAAGGGATGGGACAAAGTAGGGGTTATCGTGGTGGCTATTGCAAGAGAGTTGCTGTGTCGTGTGGTTCAAGGAAGTTGCAGCACGAAGAGACCCTACCCTATGCGCTCCTTCCAGCTGATTGATTTCGATGATGAATTGAGCTGTGGGGACCCCACCAACCCACCTGGCTACGTAGTTACGAAGCCCCCTCCTCACCGCTGACATGCACTTTCACTGCACAGAGGTGGTTTGATATTTTGGTAGGAGTGTACGATGCCGCATCCACCACATGCAAACTGTTACAGCAGAAGGAGTGCGGCCTCCATCATCCTACAGTATCCTGGCTGGAACAATTTCGGGCGCTCGGCTCGGAAGAAGCAGACTTGTGAAACAGACCAGTTCTTACAGTGTATGATACATGCCAACTACTTCGAAGTTCGAACATAGCAACAGCACACAAAGCCAGCATGGGAGCGCGAGATCTGGGGCAGCAACTTGCTCCCGCATCGGCCATTCAAGCCTATCTCGACACGCACGCGCACGCGCACGCGCCGACGGCACAGTCACCTCACGCGACTGAACTCCACCATCTCGCCATCCAGATCGCACACAACTTGCGATACCAACACCTGTGGACCGACGTGTGCCTTCACACCCACTCAGCGCTCGCCGCCCGGCCTCTCCCACGCCCCATGATATCCGGAGTGCCTCCACAGCGCTTGTACGTGCATCCGGACGAGCAGATTGAGCTGCTCCAGCAGCAAAAAGACGAGGGCAAGAGTGGCACTGGCATGCCCGAGCTCAGCAGGGAGCGCGAGTGGGTGCTACCCAGCCATCTGCGCGAGAAATGGAGTCTGCGGAGATTTGGCGAGACTTTCAACTCTCTCACGGTCGTGCCGCCGCCGCCGCCGCCGCCCCCGTCGACCCCTACCCCAGCCGGTGACTCTGATGAGTTGAACTACGACTTTGCGCATGTACCCGACCATCTCGAACCTAGTAAATGGCGCACATCCCTGCCCAAGAGACTTCTCCTTGCCACCCTGGACGATGACAGTACCGTCGTCTACTACATCGTTCACGATGGTCTGGTCAAGCCCAGACAGAACTGAGATGGAGACTTTTGCGACATCCAAACTTACAACCGGAGCTACTCCGCGCACTTCTCTACTACATCACCTTCCATCTGCAAGGGACAAAGTATGTCAAGCATACGGACGGAGAGCACCGAGACCACAAAGCAGCACTCACGCCACTATATCGAAAGGCTGTCCTCCGTAGCTCTTGACCACAGACAGGCCAACCACAACGGTACATCGCTGCTGTGTATTTGAAATAGTAATACTCTCCTGGCGGTGCTGCTGTGTGTTCGAAGTAATAATACTCTCCTAGCAGTGCGGCGTGGTCGGCGTTCCATCTTTGCTTCAAATTCACCATCACAACACCCATGGACCATGGTGTGGCATAAAGGGCCAAAAACGGATCTTTCGTACAGAAAGCTACGTAGCGGCCAAAAACGAGCCTCAGCGATGCTATCTCGGACAACTTTGCAAATTCCCAACAGATATCCGCTGTAGAGGCACTATGTACAAGCTGCTGCTGCTATCAGAGACGCATTTGGTACGAGTACATATTCTGAGAAAACCCCGGGTCCCAAAAAATGTCGGGAATCATATCGCATAGCGCGCATCGATGCGCATCGCGTCCCATCTATCATTTCATACCCAATCCGTCCATCAATCCTCCATGATCACCCATGTTCCCTTCCGGTCCCGTATCGATCGCCGAGGGCGTCAAACCTGCTGCTCCGATCCCAGCCATGTCTGCGAAGCCCGTGAAACTATTCGACCAATCGAGAGTGCTTGTGCCGTTGAAAAGGTTATTGTCCTCTCCCACTGTAGGTGGTTCCATGTTGAATGGCATGAACCAAGCTGTTGATGGATCTCCCCAGAAGCCACTGTGCTGCTGCGCGCCTTGCTGATTGGCGCAGGCGTGCATATCGAAGTTTTCAAAGTTGACGTTGCCGGCGCCGTCGAGCATGCTGTTCAGGCTGCTTTGGTTGCTGCTCCCGCTATACGAGTTGAGAACCATTTGCCGGTCGAGTTGAGGCAGGTATTGTTGTGGTGGGGTGCTGATGAGAGGATTGTGAGGTGGTTGGAAGCCTGGCGGGAAGGCGATGGAATGCTGTGCGAAACCAGCATTGATGTTTGCGTCGAGATCGTGGGTGACTTGAGTATGTAATGGGTGGAGACCATTTGGCCTGGCTGTGTCGTCTTGTTGTGGTTGGCTGGTGGGGGGCTGTGTCAATTTGCTTCCTTCTGATGTTGATTTGCGCTTCTTCGCCATCTTCCTCAAATTCTGAGCTTGTTGCAGGTGTGCTGCTCTGCTAGGCGGACTCAATTTCGAAAAGAATTCCTCCACAGTCTGGAGATCACTCTTCTGACCAAGCACAGCATCGGCTCCGATTTCCCTCTTGACATCGCTGTTAGGCTCGTCATAGTCGGTGCCGCTGACGCCATGCGGATAGCGGTCGAACCAGTCGCCGTACTGGAATATAGCTTGCTCGCCGTCCTTGCCCAAGCTGGAGCCTTTGAGGCCGCATCGAGCAGCATCGGCCTGTCGTCGATACAGCTCCTTAAGATTTTCCGTAACAAAGTGAAACATGCCCCAATATTTCTTCATCTTCGTGAGATACTTCACATTCCACGCCAAATTCTGCTTGCTCGACGCCTCCAGCTGTGGATTCTTGGAGAAGGCGCCGTGAATGTGGACAGTACTGCTGAAGAAGGCGCAGTAGCCGGCAAATGGCGCCACCACCAGATGATCTGTTGCTTCTCGAATGAGTTCAGAGATCTGGTTTGCAGCATCCATGGCCGTCTGCGCAGCCTCCGCGATGAAGTCTTCTGGCATCTCCTTTGGGAATGTGGAGCGTGATCCAGGCGAAGGCAGTGCGAATTTGTTCATGAATAGCAGCGTCTGGTTGTGTACAATGTGCAGGAAGATGAACTGGTTTGCAATCTTCTCAGAGGCATGGTTCTGAAGATTCTCCTGGTTGTACTGCAGCGAAGCTGGCAGCGTGGCCTTCCATTCTTTGACAGCCGTTTGGATCTGTCGAAACCTGGAATCCTCATCCCACATAGGATGGTTGTCACGTTCTTTCCCGCCGAGGTTGAGGTATATGTTAAGTCTACCCCAGATGGAGACCAGCCGGACCAGATAGGCCGCCACGCCCATGTTATCTTGAGCATTGGCCATCTGGCCTAGCCCTGGTTCCAATGGATTCGGGACGTTGCCGTCCAAGTCTTCGGTGGGACCATTGATCTCCATCTGATAGTAATTCTCTCGGATGGGGAGTTGAGCACGAATGTATTGTTCGCCGACGAAGACGGGCCTATCTGTACCACTCGAGTTGAATCGGTCCATCAGGAAGCATGACCACATCGTTCTTCGTCGTATTTCGCGATCCGTAAAGGTGAGACTGTTTCGTCCTCCAGGTGTCCTATCCTTTGGGTCATGGTCGAGATCCTTGTGGAGTTGAAGTGCGTATGCCATGCGTTGCGCCATACCGCCGAACATCCAGCTCCGACCACCTTGGCAGGTGCCAAACTCGTGAAGTCCGAGGATGAGATAACATATGAGAATCGTTATATTCGGAGTATCGTATCTTCGTAGCGCAATCTCTCGTGCTGCGCTGGCCCAGTTCTCTCCTCGAAGAAAGGCAGGCTCCGTGCGGACATGAGGGTGGTTAGAGAATCGTGCGGATATGGCGCATACGGCAAGAATGAGGACCGGCGGTACTGTGCCTTGGGCCAGTTTGCGCATGAAACTTGGTTTGTGAAGGAGATGATAGCTTTGGCCGTAGACGTAGTCAAAGAAGACTTCCGCAAGATGCTCTTGCAGCTCTTTGGATGGCAACTTGTCTGCTCCCTCGCGGAGGAGGTTGTGCTCTTCTTGATTTGCCGGCTTCTCGCCATTAGCATCCAGGCTCTTATCTTCAGCAGGTTCTGCGCGGCTGACAGGTCTTGTCGCTTTGCTCTCAGCCCAATCCTCAAGCTCGTCGCCAAACGCCTGCTCGGCTCCTCTCTTCTTGGAGCCACCAGCAGACTTTGGAGGCGGCGGTGGCAATGGAGGCTTCACAACAGCTCGCCCAGTGTTGTTGACAATAGCTTGCTCCTCCTTAGGTATGCATTTGATGACTCGTTCTTCCATTCGCTTAAGACGCTTGTCAAGCATCGCCATGTAATCGGTGCGCGGCGCGGCTTTTCTTGTAGTGACCTTGTACACGCATGGTATGCGTGATCTCAAACAATGCTTGCACGCTGGCTTCTCTCCAGAGCAGCGTATTTTCTTGCGCCGGCATGCAATGCACGCCAATGGAAGTCGCTTTCGTTCTTTGCCAGCTTTGGTCTTGAGCTCACTCCAGGGTGGCGGTGCGCCAGTTTGATTGTCATCTTGCTTACTCGCATCCGCTGAAGCTGGTTGCGATGTGGCAGCGTCATTGTTCTCGCTACCAAATTGATTTTCAGCAAAAGTAGCCTGACCTCGTTGACCGCCCGGACTGGTTGTATCTGAGCCGCCGAAGCTATTCTGTCTTACCATGCCGTATGGCCCGTTGCTGCTGACGCTAAGCCGGTGGTGGTGACCGAGGATAGGCGATTGTGCGTCTACCATGCTCACGGCATGCTGAATGGGTGGCGAAGGTATCATGTTCGTATCAAAGCCATTGTGGTATGGCTGAATAGCTCCAGGCATGAGCGGTGCAGAAGTATAGCCGTTGACGAAGCCGTTGCCACCATTCATGCCATGCTGCGGTGTATCGAAGCCATAGTCACTGCCGGACTGACTGCCGCCGTATGCAGAGCCCGGCCCCATGGAGCCCATACTCATGAAGTTGGGGGTGGGCGAATGCGTCATGTACTCCAGTTTCATGCTCTTTGCTAGCCTGGAAATTTCGCCAGCGCGTCTACGCAGAGAAAAATGCCATTCGTGCTTCCGTGGTCGGTCTGGAGTGAGAGATATCAAGATGCTTCCGTCATTAGGCTTCAAACAGCCATTTCCCTCCCTCTCGGCCGCTCAGGCGATCTCATTCCATATGACCTCGCGCCTGTGATTGTGTTCTCGAACCCTCGGCCCAACTCGGTCTATCTCATTCGCGACCTTGCAGACAGGCCAGGTGGAGTCGTGACGACCGGGATATAGAGTTGTATCGCGAATTGGCTTCGTGGCAGAATCGAGACAATATCCCCGTCGTGGAAGGGCAAGTCGTTGGATGCTGAGCAGAATGACAGGCGTGTGGGAAGCCTGCGCGCGCACTACAGGTGAACCTGGTTATAAGCAGCCGGCCCCCAGGCCATAATAATGCTTATAACCCGATATTGCTTAGAGTTGGGCTTAGTTAGCCCCTATCCAGGCTCGAGGCAGCTTAGAAAAGGTGTATTCTCCGGCCTCCTTTATCTCTTTTCGGAAGAAGAGGCCCCTGAATATCTCGGATAGGTACTTCCGGATAAGCAATTGGATAATAAGAAGGGCCGGATGTTCCAAGCAATTGCTAACTTGCAGTATGCTACCTAAAAAGCGTTGAATATCGAGATCCGTTGCTTACAACCCGATATTGCTTGTTCGGAACTTGCCTATACCCGGGTTTGACTGTATACCGCGAGGAGGCACGTCGCCAGGACGAGGGTAGCACAGAGGCAGTGGCAGACTCCGTAGCAGTGGCAGCAAAGCAAAGCAGTGCGGTACAGTCTGTCCCCAGTTCGACGTGCAGCCGACCCCAGCCTTGGCCATGTGCTCTTCAATCTTCACCACACTGGGCCCGGCGAGGGTGCAGGCCGCCAATGCGCTAGTGCCATCGCTGCCCTGTCGTCCCCGCCAGGCGAATTATTAATGGAGACGGTATCATGGGTCAGAGCAGACGTCCTCGGTCCTCCCCTCCCCAGCCCAGCCCAGCCCAGCCCAGCCCAACTGCTGCCGCTGCCGCTGCCGCCGCCGCCGCTGCTCCTCTGCCACGACAATCAGGTGTCGCGGAGCGCAGCCAGCGCGCAAGCGACGATGGCGGGCCGAGCAATCGATGGTTCTGTCGCTTGCCGATCGGGCAAAAGTGATGTTCGCCGCGGCGTCTCCGCGCGACCTTCTGGAAGCACGGGAGGCTGGGCGTCGGCTACAGGCCCAAGCCCTACCGTCCGGGTCCGTCCCCTACAGCCCCTACCCTGGGCCTGGCAGCGAGCCCGTGCGCGTGCGCGTGCTCGCCCTGTTCGTGATGACTCGTGCAGTAGTCATCTCATCACCTCTCACGCTCATCATAACTGCACACACTGCAGCGCAGCGCAGCGCGCGCGCACGGAGGCTGCCAGGCTGCCAGCTGCCAGAAGGTGCGAACTCTATCAGCGCGTTTAGCCTCGAGCCAAACGACGCTGAGTCAGTGCAGACGGATATTCCCGGACACAGGCCTCTCGTCACATCAGTGCAACAATATCATGCAACCATGTTTGCGCGCGACCGTCATCACAATCATCCAAGATTGCCACAAGTGGTGAGGGGTGCTGCGCCAACAACTCCACTTCTCCGAGGCTATGGCGAGCATCCTGGCCGGCAGGGTTGTCGCGCTTACGCCCTGCGCCGTCGCCCACGTGGAATGAACGATACATACATGTTACATCTATACACGCCGATTTGAGAGGCTTGTGCAATAGGGACCTTTAGAAGTAAGAGTCTATAAGAAATAGCGCTTCGACCTTAATAGAATCTTAGTTATCCGGATACTAATATTAAGGGTAACTTCCGCTTTATAAGGCCTAAATTAATAGAGCTAGTAGACCTACTAGATATTAGTCTAATCGTACTACTAGTTAGCCGTAAATTGCTACCTATAATAGTGCTTTTATAAGAAGGGTATATTAGCAGGTAGATAGGGTAGTAGTAGGTATAGATAGTATTCGATAAAGAACTAGAAAAAGAGGGAGGAAGGCGGGCAAGTTAGCCTATTACTAAGCGCTAAGCCCTACCTAAGGCATCTAGACCCTAACTTTACTCGAGCCTAGTTATATACTAATTACGTATAACCTCTTTAGTCCTAATATACGCTTCCCTTCTAAAGGCTACGCCCTCGTAGCTAGTTTTTATTCCGATCTTAACCTCTATTTCTACTAACTTAGTAGGTCTAATAAGCTGCTTAGTCCGCGCTAAATTGAACGCGTAACTACCGATTATGTAACTATGTTAAACCTTACCTTCTAATACAATATCTAACCCTAACTATGCTATCTTTATATATAATAAAGTAATATATAACTAAAAGAATTAAGGGCTATTAACTAATTATAATACGAGCGCGCCTTCCCTACTATAATAGATAGGCATACGAGGTATTGTAGTACTGCCTTCGTTCTAAGTAATATCGTTCCGAGTTCTTTGCGTCTACTCTAAAAGACCTAGAAATGTCTGCTTCCGAGGATTGTCCGTTTCCGAGAGATTATTCTTGTTATTACGAGGGCTATTATTTACTATCGTAGTTTTACTAGCCCTAATTAGTTAGGTTTAGCAGCCTTTAATTATTAACCTTATCTTTTAAAAAACATAGCTTGTCTAGTTCCTATAAGTAAAGGCTATTATAAGTATAGTAGTTAAGGTTCGCTTTACTTAAAGGGTCGGAAAGATCGAGAAGTAACTTATTATCTATAAGATCGACCCTAGCTAGCTTAGCTCTATAGTTTTGCCCTTAGTTAGTCTATTAATCGCTTAACCTTTTAAACTTTAAGCCCTTCGAACGGCTTAATTCTTTTTTGCCTTGCTAGTATAGTGCGCCCTAGCCTTAGGCTATAGTATAGGTAAGGTTGTCTTCGTAGGTATAGTAATAATAGCAAGTAATGTCTATACTAGCGGCGCTAGCCGTCTTAGCGCTAACTTTACCTTGCTTCTAGTTTCCTTCTTTAACTAGCAATAATATTAGCAATACCGTTACTAATATAACCGTGTCTTTCCTTCTTTAAACAGTAATATACCCCGTAATACCGTTACTAATATAGCTATGTCGGCTGCTAATACACTGCTAGCTCGTAGCGCGACACTATTATTATCCTTATTATCGTTATTCGTACGCGCGCGCGCATCGCCGATAGCTAAGGCTTCGAGGCTCTATAGAATAAATAACTAAGAGGTAGAGTCCTTAAAAGAGTAGTAAGTAGTCTTATTGTCCTAGTTTACTAGCCTCTAATTAGTTAGTAAATATTACCCTAGGGGTAGTATTAATCCTAGGCCTCTCTAGCGATATTATAGGCCCTTAGCCTTCTTCTTGTTCTTTATACTAGTCTAATACTTATCTAACAACTCGGTTATATCCTTAAACGAGTCTTTAGCCTCCTATAAGTCCTATTTAGGTAAATAGCCTTGCTATCTTAGTAGGTACTCCTTCTTACCTTATCTAGTCTAGTACTTTAGTATACGCTCTACCGACTATAGTTCTTTACTATTAGCTAAGACTTCTTCTAACTTAGTAGGCGCTTTATCGCCTTCGCGTTAGCAATATAGCTTAAGAAGGGATATATAGAAGGTATTATAGATAGTATAATATTACGATCTTAGCGACTTGTATATGAAATTTAAAGTTACGTAACGGGGCTAGCTAATGCTACCCTAGGGGTGTTATTAGACCTAAGCTACAAGTAACCCGAAGTTACGTAACTCGATGCCTAAGGCATCCGCCGAGCGGATAAAAGCCTCTTCCGCGAGAGAGCCTCTCTCTCTTCCTTCTCTAACTCGTTATTAATTTAGATAGCTATCTAATTAATATCTTAATAGAATAACGAGTTCCTTTATTACCTACGACAACGTCGTAGGTACTGTCGTTTATATCTATACGAAGAATTATATCGCTAGCGATCGCTATCGCCCTTTTACGCTTCTCGTTATACGATAGCGCTAACAAACCTTATATTATATTAGGACCTATATACTAATCTATATTAAGTATAGTAAGCTACTTAACCGTAGTAATACCGCCGATCCGTTATAGATCCTTTACAACCGCCTACTAATCGTAGTAGCGGCTCGGAATATATAAATACGCCTAACTAAGCAGAAACAGCTAGTACCTAGTTAAACGGTATACTAGAGCAACAACCTCCGTAGGGTCTACGACCTAGCCTTATAGACATCGATAGTATACTATATTAGCCTTTACCTAGCAATCTCTAGGACTTCTAGTAGCTCTTTAGTAGAGTAAATAAGTAGGAAGCCGCTAAACACGTCTTTTAACGCATAACCGCGTTATACTAGTTAGTAGCTACTCTCTGTTAACAATACTAGTAAGAAGCAGAAACACTAGAGCGAGTATAATAAGCCTATTATAAGACTAATACCTACCTTAATAGCGAGCTAGTATAGGCTCGTACGGAAGTAGAATACTAACGCTAAGCCGCCGAGGTAGTACGTAATATACTAAATATCGCGTACTAGTAACGTAATAACCTTGCTTAGCAAGCCGTACGTCTATAATAATAATAGTCTTCTATAGAAGATATCGCCCGCTAAGCTAGCGAATAAGCTACTCGTACCCGTCGTAACGCCGAAGCGTCCTTATTATATAACCCGGTCGGCGGCTAAGGACCTATACTAAATAATAGCCGACCCTTATTCCGTCGCCTATCTAACATATACCTAGTACCCGAAGATATTGTACTAGGCGGTAGTAGCTTTTGTCGACCTCTTAGCGCTTTCGACTATCTCGGTCGTTTACGCTTCGGCCGTCTAAATACTAACCCTAAGGGTTAGGATAATCCTATTAATATTAATAATAACTTTGGTTACGACCTAGTACTACGATCTCGCGACTAACTAGACCCTCTCCGCCGCCCTAGGTTTAACTATAGCTTTAACGACGATAATAACTATACTAGATATAATAAGAGCGAGAAGTATCTAGACCTAGAGAAATACGATAGAGACCGTAAGAAGCTAAAGCCCTTCCTTACTAAGCTTACGATTAAGTTAACAATTAATAATAACCGCTTTCTAATACTATAAGACTAGTTAATATATACGTATAGTCGTACTACCGGCAAAGCCTACTCGATAGTCTAGCTATACGTCCGTTATAATAAATAGGGCGTAATCGTAGATTTCGACGACCTCGATAACTTCCGCAACCTATTAGTTAACGCCTTCGGCGACCCTAACGAGGTCGCTACTACTAGTTATAAGCTAGATAACTTAAAGTAGAAGAATAAGGAGTTTGCTTACTACCTTATAGAGTTTAATCGACTTAACGCCTTACTCGGTTATAAAGGCCGAGCCTAGGTTAACGCTCTTAAGTATAGCTTGTTTTCCGAATTAAAGATAGCGCTTAGTAATATATATAATAAGCCTACTAACTTCTTAGTATTATATCGCTATCTAACTATTATCGATAATCGGCTCCGCTAATATCGCGTAGAAAGTAGCTACGATAATACTAAGCTAGGATCTAGCAATACTACTAACTAAGGCTCGAATACTAACCGTAGTAATAATAACGCTAGCGGCTCTAATAATAGGTACGCTCCTTAAGGATACGTCGCTCTACGTAATAACTAAGAACAATTTACCTCGGCGAATAATAGTAATAATACTAGTACTACTACGACTACGACTACGACTATCCGCGACCCGGACGCTATAGACCTCTCTACTACTTAAGGTTAGGGTTAGGGTTAGGGTTAGAGTTAGGGTTAGGGTAATCGTCGTCGCGTAACGCTTAAAAAGAGAGATCGCCGCCGCCGCGAAGGTTTATATCGCTTCTATAGTAGCAATTA